CCCGGGCGCCCTACAGTGTCCCCCGCCTGGTGACCCACCCCAGGTGCTGCTCTGAGGGCCCCACAGCCCTGGGCACACTGGCCACGGCTCTCCCTTCGCTGGGAACCCCCCCATGAGCCATCAGCAGAGAGGGCAGTCCCCAGCCTTGTCACCCCAAGGGCCCTTCCTCCTCCAGCCCCTGCTCTGAAATCCTGGTTCTCCTAAAATTTCGTGATAAAGGGATTGCAGCCCTGGGTCTGAACAGACTCAGACCGCCATCTTCAACAGCTTCTCCGGGACCACAGCAGCTGTGTGTCCCGGGCACACCCAGCCCAGCTGCCACATGCCCAGAGCCCCCCAGCACCCACTGGCACCCACCCGATGCCACGAGCCAGGGGGCTGGGCCCGACTGAGGGACCCTCATGGCCTTCCCTGGCTACCCTCCACCTGCCAATGATACAGGATGGGGGAGAAGCTTGGGGAACCAAAGGAAGGGCCCCCACACCCTGCCAGGAGGGACATGACAAGTAGGGGGCTGGACTCACTCCAGCCTGGACCCTGGGGCAGGGGGACTCAAGGGGGCACCTGCCAAGATGTGCTTTCCCAAGGGGTGTAGGGGGGTAGGCCTGCCTTTCCACACCCACCACACTGCTGTGACCACCCTGCCCCCGCTGTGTCACATCCATTTGTCCGTGCACTAACTGTACCGCACTGGCCATTAAAGATGACGGCCTTGGGGCCGCCCCACCACTGCCTTCGTGGAGCCTTCATGCAGATGACCATCCAGGCAATCCTGACCCAGCCCTGGGGAAGTGGGAAGGACAGGCCCACCCCGCGTACCCGGGGCTTCATTCCTCCCACCTGTGAAGTGGCTCTGACTGCACCCAGGCCAGAAGTTTCGAGGAGGCCGGTTGGGGTGGGTCAGGTAGCAGGAGGGTCTCCACATACCTGGTTGGCCCAGGACAGGTTTGTGTGGAGGGGACGCACCGCAAGGGTATGGGGGGCGGGGGGCAGAAGCACTTTGGTCTTCACCACAATCCAGGAAGAATGGCTACGGGGAGCTCATTTGGAGGAGAAAAGTTCAGAGCTTGCTCTCTGGGACTATTTCCTCAATGAGAGGGGTTGGTCCACTTCAGATTCTCCTTGATGGGAGTCTCTTGGAGGAGGACTTGGGGGAAGTGTGTCCCCAGCGCAGGGCAGGGATGGGGGCTGGATGGCCGAAGGGGAACCCTAGCCTCGGGTAGGCATCTTTGGGCGGGACCCCAGCGGGCGTCCCAAGGGCCACCGTGTGGGCGGAGGCGCAAGGGCGATGCCCGAGGCGGCCGCGTGGTGGCGCCCCTCTCCCGTGATCCGCGTGTGGGCGAGGCCGCCGCCTCCACGTACTCGCGCCTGGGACTTGGGGGCTGGTCCTGGAGCCCAGGCTGACCCCCCTCCCTGGCCAGACGCGGGCTGGTGAATTCGTATGTGAACTCTTAATCGTCCGTCGTGACAGTCTCTCCTCGCAAAGAAACCAAGGCCCTGGGGACACAAGTATTATACAGCAAAGGCCATCCACACTGACCAGTCCCCACCCTCCCAGGGCACCTGCGGGTTCCATAAGGGCCAAGGTCTCAGGGATGGAGGGGTGGGAGTGCAGGACCAGGGCCAGCCTCGTGCCCAAGCGAGTGCCTTCCCTTTTCCCTCCCCCAAGAGTGTTAGTGGGGAAAGCCCCCAGGCTTTCCCTGCCCTTAGGATGCTCAGCTCCTCCCTGACCTGGTGCCTGTGCTGGGCTCCCAGGAGCATAGGGCCCCAGAACACTGGTGGTATCTGCCCACCCTCTACACAGAGAACCCTTTCGTATAGAAGCTACCTTTGCTGCTTCTTGAGGCTCCACAAAGGAGGGAAAAATCTCCCCTCTGTCTCTGGCTGGTGCAGTCAATGTACTCAGTTGCTAAGCAAATGTTGGCAGTTTGAGTCCACCCAGAGGCACCTCAGAAGAAAGGCCTGGCAATCTACTTCCACAAACATCAGCCACTGAAAACCCTATGGAGTGCAGTTCTACTCTGACACACATGGGGGCGCCGTGAGTCGGAACAGATTCCACGGCAACTGGGTCCAAGTTTTGTGGTTGAACCAAGAAGAGAGCAGTTCACAGCAGCCCTCCCTCACAGTGATCTGACTGCAGCCGGGCCTCCCCACCCCCATCACAGCCTCAGAACCTGCCACCTCCAGGCATGGGCAGCAGCAGTGTGGGCACTGGCCAGGAGTGCCCAGCTCTGCATTTTAAAGGAACAAAAAGGAGGTGGAAGTCCTTCTTCCCAGCACTGTCCAATAGAACTTAGTGCAGTGATGCAATGTTCCAGAACTTCACCACTGCCCATTACAGTAACCACAAGCCACATGTGGCTGTTGAGCACTGAAAATGTGGCTAGTGATGGTTCCTGGGTGGTGCAAAGTTTGCACTTAGCTGGTAACCAAAAGGTTGTTGAGTCAAACCCACCCAGTAGCTCCATGGGAGAAAGACCTGTCATTCTGCTTCAGTAAAGATTACAGACTAGCAACTCAAAAGGTCTGATGGGAAGCCTAGGGGCCAGATGAGTTGAAGATAAAGGTGATGGAGTAATTTGGAAAAGGATAGTGAGAATAGCAGCACAACTGGAAGAATGTAATCAATATCACTGAACTGTACATGCAGAAATTTCTGAAATGGGGTACCTTTGGCTATGTATATTTCACAAAAAAAAAAAAGCCCTCCAAGGTCTAGAAGGGAGAGTGTTGACATGTCACGGGGTTGTTAACCAATGTCATAAAACAATATGTGTACTGACTGTTTAATGAAAAACTATTTGTTCTGTAAACCTTCACCTAAAGTACAATAAAAACAAATTAAAAAAAAAAAAAAGATTGCAGCCTATGGGGCAGTTCCGCTGTGTAACACATGGGATCTCCAAAGTCGCAAACCAACAAAACAAAATAAACAATGAAAACGTGGCTAGTGAGACCAAGGAACGCAACTTTTTTCTTCCTTTTGAACTGTTGCTAGCTGCCATCAAGTCAGCCTCTGACTCATGGTGACCCCAAGCACAAAAGGATCTGACCATTGTAATCCATTGGGTCTCCATTGGTTGATTTTTGGAAGCAGATCTCCAGGCCTTTGTTCTTTGTCTTAGTTTGGGAGTTCCGCTAAACCTGTCTAGCTTTAGAGCAACACACGCCTCCACTGGCAGATGGGTGGTGGTTGTGCATCAGGTACACTGGCCAGGAATCAAACCCATCTCCCACATGGAAGGCAAGAATTCTACCACTGAACCACCGCTGCCCCCTCATTTAAATTAATTCCAATTTAAACAGCCATATGTGGCTAGTGATCAGTCCTGGACAGGCCCCCTAGTGTCCTGAAACGTTGGCCTGCCTGGCAGGGGCATCCCAACACCAAGAGCCACTGTGTCTCCTCACCTCCATCCCGAACGTCCAGCACCAGCTTAACCAGCCCCTGAAATAAACCACTCAGACAACGGTGCTTTTCCAATGAAATCTTTTTTTGTTTTCTTTTTTTATGAAAAAGATCACACAGAATTCGCCAACAAACAAAATTCCAAAAGAAACTTAAAAAAAGAAAGAAAACAATAATCCCCCAAAAAACAAAACCAAAGTCTGGCTTTTCCTTCCCTCAAGATTGTCTGGGCAAGCTCTCCTATTCCCCTGGAAGGCGTGGGGGCTGAGTAAGTGCTTTCTAGGCCAGAGGGGAACTCACAGCTGTGCCGGCTCCCTCTCTCTCTCCCTTGCTCACATCTCCTCTCTGCTTTCCCTAGCTCCTTATCCATCTGGGGGGCAAGTACAGTACGGGGGCGGGGGAGCTGGGGGGCAGGAGGGCCGGGCGGGCAGGGGTGTGTGTAGGGACATGGGGTGAGGGTTGGGGTCCGTGACGCCAGCTATTTGGCACTCACAATCTAACAGGAAATAAAAAATAATATTCTGCACATCAGAATGTGTTTGCTTTTTATAATTTCATAGCTATTTTTTCACAGTTTTAAAAAGTTTATATTTATATATATTTATATATATTTATCTTTATATATATAATTAAAAAGTTGACTCCATTTAAAGGCGTATGATACAGGGGTGGGGCTAGAGTCTCTCTTGGTACAATAAAACTGTACAGGTTAAGAACTGCCTCCTCCCGGGGTGTCCGAGGTCTGGCTGTGGAGGGGCCAGGTGTGACTGGGCCGAGGCAAGGGTTTCAGCACCATTGGGGTTGTCTGTAGTGTGAGGGTCTGGGCCAGGGTGCGGCCAGCACCTGGCCTCCACCTGGTGCTTTGCCGATGCTCCAGGGCTCTGCCCTCACCTGGCTGCATTCCCCAAGTTCCAGGCCGTCCTGAGAGGGTGGAGGCCCAGGCTCCTGGCAGGGCACCCAGGAGCAGGCCTGGCACCATTGGTGAGGCTGGCTGGCGCTGAGCTGCCCCTTCCCGTGGCAGGAGGCCTTGGGCTGGGCTCCGTGCTGAGGTGGCTGGACCCTGGCAGCCCCAGGAGGGCCCGAGGCAGGGGAAAACACCCCAGAGCGTCAGTTTGATTCCTCGGAAACCCTTTCCTCCCCACCGAGTCCCCAGTCTGAGTCCTGGATGCTCAACTGGCGTGGGCCTGGGGGCGCCTGGGTCCCAAGCAGCAGCCTGGGGCCTGGAGGGCCAAGTGCTTAAGAGGCGCTGGAGAGGCCTGAGGGAGGGGCGGGCAGAGCTACACCCTGATCGTTGGGAGGAGCCCCTGTCTGGAGGGCACCAAGGGGTCTAGAAAGGGGTCTGGAGGCATGTGCACATGTGTGCACACACGTGCATGCATACGGGCACACACATGTACACATCGCACCATACCCCCGTGGGCGCACGCACACGTCCACGGGCAGACTGCATGCACTGAGCCGTGGGCACGTGCCCTGTCAGGGTGTGCACGGCCCACGCGCAGCCTCTGGCTGTGGCAGTGATGTAAGCAGTCCCCGGGTCCTCCGGGGCAAGGCAGCTGACGGAGCCCTTGGTGGAGGCGGCCGGCACTCAGCAAAGCACGGGCACGCCGTCGGTGGAGAAGATCATGCCCGTGGTGGGCTCATAGGTGCCCGCGAGGTAGTAGAGGCCCTCGCTGTCCTGGTACTTCTTGGTCTTGAGCATCTGCTCGTACTGCTCCAGGCCCACCACCAGGCACTTGTGCGACACCGTCTGCACGTCATTCTCGTCCACGTGAGAGGACTGGTACAGGGCGCGCTGCGGGTGGGTGGGCAGACCGTCAGGGGACATGGGGCCGGCAGGGTACGCAGGTCAGGCAGTGGTTAGGGGCACGGGGTGAGCAGGGGCCATGGGGCGGGTGGGTGGTGGTTGGGGGGTGCGGCACGTGAGGCAAGCAGCAGTCAGGGGGTGCAGGGCAGACAAGGTGCGGGGTGTGGGGCTCAGGGCAGGGGTTGCAGGGTGGGTGGTGGTCAGGGGCACGGGGGCGGGGGGCGTGGGACAGGCAACGGTCAGGGGGTCAGAGGCAGGCAGAGAGCACGGTGAGGGGGGCGGTCAGGGGGTGCAGGGTAGGTGGAGCAGGGAAGAGAGGACAGACCACCCTCCTGGAGTAGAAGGACCAGAGATAGCCTCAGAGGGAAGACCCAGAGATAGAGACACACAGAGGGGGACTGAGGACAAGGACAGACAGAAACCAAGAGAAATGCAGAGACAGGGAGAGACAGAGTCCAGGAGAGACAGAGATGGAGAGAGACAGAGACAGATGCAGAGATCTGAAGGGACAGAGACTGAGACACCAAGAGAAACCAACAGAAAGAGACCAAGACAAACACAGAGACCAGGAGAGACAGAGACGAGACCAAGGGAGAGATGGAGACAGATGCAGACACCTGCGGCGTAGAGAGGAGTCCTGGGGACAAGGAGAGGCAGAGACTGAGGACAGAGACAGAGCCCAACACAGACGCCGGCAGAGACCAAGACCAGGAAACAAAAGGTCTAGAGCCACAGGGACAGACACTCGGTTAAGGACGGGGCAGAGCAGAACACAACACAACTTGGACATGGCTGGCTCCTCGGCCCCGCCCTCTGTGTGGAGCCCAGAGACCCCCCCAGGCCAGCTGGACTTGGGCCCTCCCCGGGTCACGTTCAGGAGGGTCTGGAGGTGGTGCCCACTTCCCGCGGGGGTGGTTCTCCTACCTCCATGAAGTCCTTCCTCTGACTGGAGGCCTGCAGGGCAGCGGGGAGGCTCCGGCCCGACTTCTGGTCCCAGGGCTGCTCGTGGGACAGGAGGGTGGGTGTAAGCCGGGCCGGCCTCACCTGGTCCTCAGCCCAAGGGCAGGGCTGGCCCATGATGGGCAGATGGGGCAGGGCTCAGGGCCGGGACCTCCTTGTTCTGTCAGGGCCACTTCAAGGGGCCACTGTCCACCGTCCTATAATGCCCGGGACTGCCTGGCCCCCAGGGACCTCCAGGTGTTCTTTGTCCCTGGTCAGCCCTATGTCACCCAGACACTGTGGACCTGGGCAAGGGGATGTGGGCCAGGCCCGCAGGGATCACCTGGCCTTCGGGGCTCACCTGGACACTGGGACCTGGGCAGGGGGATGCAGGGCAGGCTGCAGGGCTCACCTGGCCGTGGGCTCACCTGGCCCATGGGGCCCACACGGTCCTTGTTGGCCCTAGGGCACTCAGACACTGGGGCCATGGGCAGGGGGACAGAGGACAGGCTGTGGGGCTCACCTGCCCACAGGGCTCACCTGGCCCTCGTTGGCCCTATGGTACCCGAACACTGGGACTCAGGTGGGGGACACATGCCAGACTGCAGGGTTCACCTGGCTATGGGACTCACCTGGCCCTGGTCAGCCCTAGGGCACCTGGACACTGGGGCCACGGGCAGGGGGACAAATGCTGGGCTGTGGGGCTCACCTGGCTCTCATGGAACTGCTTGCCCGGGCTGGTCTCCTCAGGGTGGTAGAACCACTTGACACGGACCACCATGTTGTTGCCCCAGGACTCCCACATGCTCTGGATGCGGCCAATGTAGGGCAGGTTGGGGCGGCCGGCCGATAGGAAGACAGCGCAGTCCCCAATGCGGATCATCTCCTTGCCACGCACGATGGCCTTGTAGAAGAGCTTGCGCGCTTTGCCCTTCATGCCACGCCGCTGTGGGAGAGGCAGTAAGCGGGGAAGGCCAGTCAACACGGGCAGCCCTCTGCCTACCCCATGGGGCACCTGCACCTAGCACTATGCCCCTCGACCTTTGCCCAGGTAGATCCTGCCTCCTGGAACCCTTTCACCTTGGCCTCGCTAAGTCACCTCTGTCAAGTCTGCAGGTTCCCTGCTACCATTATTTAATGTTTTGATCAAAGATTCTATAGAAGAATCCAGATCAAAAGGGGGAAAATGTAGAACAAAATTTAAATTTCTCATGAAATCCAGACCTTCTGGAGTCATAAGAGGCTGGATGAACCCCTGAAACTATTGCCCTGAGATCACCTTTACCCTTAAACCAAAAATATCCCCTGAAGTCTTAAAACCAAATGATAGTTTAGCTTAACTAGTAAAGAATGTCTGCCCTGAGCATTGTGCTCTTTTAAGAACTATGTATGTATATGGGATCAAACTGACAACAGCAACTCGAAAGTTTAGAGAAGAAACTTAGGGGATAGTGAGTTCATGTTAATGAGGGAGGAATAATTCACAAAAGGAGAGTGAGGATGGCTGCACAACTTGAAGAATGTCATCAATGTCACTGAATTGTACATGTAAAAACTGTTGAATTGGTGTATGTTCTGCTGTGTATATTCTCAACAGCAACAACAAGAAATAAAATTTTAAAAAATCTTGGGGTTCTCTGGGGGCAGGGAAGGAAGCCCCTGATTGCTCTAATGGAGAAGCCACTTCCACCTCTTTCATACACCTGGCCTCCAAGAGGAATTTCATTGAAACCTTCAATTAATGATCCTGCAGCTAAAACAGACTTTCAGCTCCCTGTTCTGGAGCAGCACAGCCAAATGAAGCCCTCCACAGATCTGCACACAAATGGAGCCCCCATGTGTGTCAGAGTAGAACTGCACCCCATAGGGTTTTCAGTGGCTGATTTGTAGGAAGTAGATTGCCAAGCCTTTCTTCTGAGGCACCTCCAGGTAGACGCGAACCTCCAATTTTTCTGTTAACAGCTGAGCACATTAACCATTTGCACCACCCAGGGACTCCACATCTGCTTATTAGGGGCTTACTGCAGCCAGGTCCCTGCTTTATCCTCACTTCACAGGCAGGTGGGAACTTGTTGCTGTGTCTCTGGACAAAGCCCAGCATCAGGCCCACCTGTGTCAAGCATAGTGGATGCTGCAGGTGGTCACGAAATAAAAACGCACTCGACATGCCACTGGGTCATAGAAGCTTTTGCCCCTCACAGTATAGTCTCCGTCGACAGTACGAATGGCATGGCTCTGGGGTGGGGTCACTCATATGATGTTTAAAAGTGGACCCTGGTCCCAGACACAGACTCTTGGACAAGGCATTTGGGTGAAGCTGATTTACTGGGAAGTGTTCCCGGCAGGTAGCGTTGTGGGGGAATGGGGCCAGGAAGAGCAGGAGGCTAAGGGAGGGGGATGACCAGCAGGAGGCTCTGGAGACAGTCCGAGCCACCTCCAGGGTAGCCTGAGCATCTGCGAGGGAGTTGGGTGGTTTATACCTCACCCTGCAGGCATGGGCTAAGGGATGTCCCTGGCGTTGGTGGGGGGGTGGGGTGGGGCGTGAATCCTCAGGCACTGCTCCTCCCCACACCTCAGGCAGCCTGAGACAGATGCAGTGCATGGAGCCCACCCAGAGCTGCCCGGACACTAGGCTCCAAGCATTGTGTTGGGAGTTTGCTTAATCACTCAACAAACATTTCCTGTACTTGCCTCTGTGCTGGAACCTGGGCCTGCAATGGGATAGATACGCAGCTCTCTCTGGTCCCTGAGGCTCAGGGGAGAGAGATCTGCTGTCAGAATAAAAAATCCACCCCTAGCACCCAGATGGCTCAGGGACCTGCCTGCCTCCACTGTCACTGTCCCTAGAGAAGAAATTTCTTTGAGCACCCAGCACTAAGCAAAGCTTAGCCCGCCCAAGGAACCAGCGGGTTTTCTTCCTTAAGAAACTATATCTACGGTGGCGGTGGCTCCAGGGAGCTGGGCCTTTTGTTTGGAGCAGCTGCGGGGTGGCCGCGGAACGGCGAGGCCACGGCCTTCCCCAGCTCGCTCGGTCCGGCTGCCCCTGGCGGGGGTGGGGGGCCGCCCCAGGCCGGCCCCGTGGGGGGCCGCCCCAGGCCGGCCCCGCCTGGCCTGAAGGGAGGAACTGGCCGGGCCTTAACGCGTGGCCCCGCTGCCTCTGGAGTCGCTGCCACTGCTTGCCGTAGGCCGTAGCCGAGGCCACTCCTCGCCCCTCAGGCCGATGCCATGAAGACCGAGGATGCCAAGAAACCCTCTTTCCCATGGTTTGGCATGGATATTGCGGGAACTCTAGTAAAGCGCTCATATTTTGAACCTATTGACATCACAGCAGAGGAAGAACAAGAAGTTGAGAGCTTAAAAAGTATCCGAAAGTATCTGACTTCTAATGTAGCATATGGATCCACTGGCATTCGAGATGTACACCTGGAACTAAAGGATTTAACACTTTTTGGCCAAAGAGGGAACTTGCACTTTATCAGATTTCCAACCCAGGACCTGCCTACTTTTATCCAGATGGGAAGAGAGAAAAACTTCTCAACCATACACACGGTGCTATGTGCTCCAGGAGGTGGTGCTTACAAGTTTGAAAAAGATTTTCGCACAATTGGAAACCTCCACCTGCACAAACTGGATGAACTCGACTGCCTTGTAAAGGGCTTGCTGTATATAGATTCTGTCAGTTTCAATGGACAAGCAGTGTGCTATTATTTTGCTAATGCCTCAGAACCTGAGAGATGCCTTTTAACCTGGATGAACCCTATCCACTACTGGTAGTGAACACTGGTTCAGGAGTCAGTATTTTAGCAGTCCATTCCAAAGACAGCTATAAACAAGTGACTGGAACAAGCCTTGGAGGAGGTACCTTTCTAGGTTTATGTAGCTTATTGACTGGCTGTGAAAGTTTTGAAGAGGCTCTTGAAATGGCGTCCAAAGGTGACAGCACCCAAGCAGACAAGCTGGTCCGTGATATTTATGGAGGAGATTATGAAAGATTTGGTCTGCCAGGTTGGGCTGTGGCATCTAGTTTTGGGAATATGATTTATAAGGACAAGCGAGAGTCTGTTAGTAAAGAAGATCTGGCAAGAGCTACTTTACTTACTATCACCAATAACATTAGTTCTGTGGCACGGATGTGTGCAGTTAATGAGAAAATAAACACAGTGGTCTTTGTTGGAAACTTTTTATGTGTCAGTACACTCTCTATGAAACTTTTGGCATATGCACTGGATTATTGGTCAAAAGGTCAACTGAAAGCACTGTTTCTAGAGCATGAGGGATACTTTGGAGCAGTTGGCACACTTCTTGGACTACCAAATTTCAGCTAAAGCATCAGATTTCTCTTCTGCTAATAAATGTCATCCAAAAGGAGCTGAAAACCAGAGGCATTTATTTTTCACTGAGAACCAAAGGATAAAGAGTAGCACTATTGTTGATTTTTAAATGTCAAAGCGATAAGCTACCGAATGTTGCCATAGTATAATAAAAGAGAGTTCGAAAACGTGAAAAAAAAAGAAACTATATCTAAAAACTCCTCTTTCCCTTTTCACTTTGGCTGCCAGGAAGCTTGAAATTTTTTTTTTTTTTTTTTGTCTAAATTGGGGAAATCTATACACAAATTTCCTACTCATTCAACACTCTTCTTTCTACTTTTAATTCATTGGGTCCCTAGTAGTGATTGGACTTTATAATGTGCATCTCACTAGAATAGCTCAAATTCTTTTTGGTTCAAAGCACTGTATAAATTCAAGATGGGAGAGGGATGGCCAAGATTCCTAAACCCATTCATCTTTGAAAGTAGTTATATTCATCCCAGGCAGCTTCCTCTCCCTTTCTCACACATCCTCATCCCCACCCGGAGGAGTAACCACGACTTGGTCTGGCCAAACAGAACATCCCATCCTCCTGGCCATTGTGATTGGTTTGGGGATGGGCTCACCCCCAACCCATACCCCCAGGAGTGGCCACATGACTTGGTCTGGCAAATTAGAAGAGCCCATCCTCCTGGCGAACGGAGCCCTGGTCTCGTAGTGGTTAAGAGCTTGGCTGCTAACCAAAAGGTCAGCAGTTCAAATCCACCAGGTGCTCCTTAGAAGCCCTATGGGGCAGTTCTACGCTGTCCTAAAGGGTCGCTATGCCTCGGATCTGACTCCATCGCACCTAACAACAACATCCTCCTGGCTATTGTGATTGGTTTGGAGATGGGCTCACCAACCAGTCCCCACCCCCAGGAGTGGGCACATGACTTGGTCTGACCAATGAGAACATCCTATCCTCCTGGCCATTGTGATTGGTTTAGCAATGGGCTCACAACCCAAGCCAGAGACTTTCAAACAACTTTAGCTTGAACCACTGGGAAAGACAAACGTTCTTCCTGGTGTCACTTCCAGCTGCTAGACTGAGCTGAAAACAACTAGAGCTTATTGTAAGAGGGGAGGTGAGACTGGCACAGAGGAAGGAGAGAAGAGTGACATTTGGAGTAAGGACATGAGAATGAGTCTGGAGACCCCCTGTGAGACCTTGGATCCCGCTGGACCTGAAGCCAGACACCCTGGACTTTCCAGTTAAAGAGGCCAATAAATTCCACTTAGTGCTTCAGTCCGTTTCCCTAGTTAGGTTTCTATCCTTTGTAGCAGTGGGAGCCATCAGTTGATCCTGGCATTGAAACCAGCGAACGGAAGATGCTAAAATGAGGAATGGGCGCATCAAGGTGGGGGCAGGACTGTGGGGATGGCCCTATGATTGGCTCAAATGCCGTCACTCGTTGATCAAGTGCCTGCCAGGCTTAGAGCTCTAGGGGCTTTTGTTTTAAAATACCAGGAGTTTGGAATGCCTGGCTACCTGGTGCAGCCTTCAGGAAAGACCTTACAAGAATCTGCAAGCTCAAGGTGGCCTTCGGAAACTGTGGCCCAGGCTTGCCAAGAGAGGCTCTTTCTGCCTGTCCCCACAATCCTAGAGGGTTTAAAGTCAGACAGTCCTGTGCCCTGTAGGGTCAGAAGCCAGGTGATCTGCCCCAAGTTCAGGTAGCACCCTAAAGGCAGGGAGGCCCGAAAAAAAGCTGGAACTGGAGGGAGTGGGGAGAAGCCAAGCCCTCGCCCCTCTGCTTGACAGAGGGGGAAATAACTCCCCTTCTAAAGAGCCCTCCAGGAGCCCCGGTGGCACAATGGTTAAGCGCTCAGCTGCTAACCAAAAGGTTGGCAGTTGGAGCCCACCGAGTAGCTCCTTGGGAGAAACACCTGGTGATCTGCTTTAAAGATTACAGCCTAGAAAACCCTATGGGGCAGTTCTACTATGTCACATGGAGTTGCTACGAGTTGAAAATCAGCCTTAAGGCACCCAACAACAATGACAACACCAAAGAGCCCTCCACTGGGGTGGGGCAGATCAAGCCATCCTCCCACGTGGGGATTTCTCACTGCACCTGGCTGGCATGGGGAGAGCCCTAAAAGGCGGCTGCTGAGAGACAGAAACCCACAGGCTATTCTCAAGTCCTAACACTCCACAACTTCTCAGCCATGTTGATTCACCCAAAGGAGTTGATGCAAATACGCCAGGGAACTTCCCAAACTTTGAAGAGTTGCGATGCAAGAAACATCAAGCCTGTCACTGTCAGCCCCAAAGCCGTCAAGCCCACACTGGCAGGAACTGGACGGTTACAGAGGTACAATGTGCAGAAACTGGAACCCTCCTGCATTGCTCAAACCTGTTGCCTTTGAGTCGATTCTGACTCATAGTGACCCTACAGGACAGAGTAGAACTGCCCTATGGGGTTTCCAAGGAGCAGCTGGTGGATTCGAACTGCCAACCTTCTGGTTAGCAGCAGAGCTCTTAACCACTGCGCCACCAGGGCTCCGTGTCTGGGGTAACACTATTTTTAAAAAAAACAGTTGGGAACAATCTGAAAAGGAGGGTGAAAATGGTTGCACAACTGAAAGAATGTAATCCATGTCACTGAATTGTACATTTAGAAACTGTTCAGTTGGTGTCATGTTCTGCTGTGTATAATTTTAACAGCAACAAAACCTAAAATAAGTTATTTAAAAAAAAAACCAGCTGCTGTGGAGTTGACTCCGGCATATGGAGACCCATGGGTGTAAAAGCAGAACTATGTGCCATAGGGTTTCCAATGGCTGATATTTCGGAAGTAGGTTGCCAGGCCTTTCTTTCAAGGCACCTCTGGGTGGACTCAAACCTCCAACCCTTCAGTTAGAAGATGACTGTGTTAACATCTGCACCACCCAGGGAGGCGCCTGGTGTTGGGCAGAGACACCAAGGTGCTGGGCTGAACGTTTCCGCATGTGGGAAGGAGTGTATGTCTGTGGGTGTTAGGGAGCCCCACTATGGGTGAGGAGGGCTCCTTCTGGTGAACCACCCCCCACCCCCACCCCGTAAGGGTGGACAGGTGACACAGACCTGGCTACCTTGATCACTCAAGCACAATCTAAGTGAGGCTGAGACCCAACCCCAGACTTTTGCTGGCCAATAAAAGGGAAGAAGCTTTCTGCAGGGACTGTTCACTGCAAGGCTGAGAGACTTGAGCCACTTTGCCCCAATGAAGTTAGAGAGTAGTAGAAAATAAAGCCAAGGCAAAGAAAAACAGGCTCTTTGGCTAAAAGGACTTGAAAGACCCTTTGGTATCCTCAATAAACACCTGTTAATGGGAGCTGTTGTTAAATCTATAAGACTGCATAACAGTCTTAGAAGAACTACAAGCAGAATGCTCCTTAGAAGGAGGATGGCGAGACTTCAGCTCGCTTGCTTTGCACATCATCAGGAAACACCAATCGTGGTTGGTAAAGTGGAGGATCGACAAAAACAAGGGAAACCATCTGCTATGGTTTGAATTGTGTCCCCCCAAAATATGTGTTGTAAATCCTAACCCTTACACCTGTGGTTATAATCCCATTTGGGGATGGGTCTTCTTTCTTGTTAATGAGGCAGTATTAATGCAGGGTGTGTTTTAGTTCATCTCTTTTGAAATATAAACCGGGAAGCAAACACAGTCGGGGAAAGACAGATGCTATGCCACATGAAGATCACCAAGAAGCCAAGGAACGCCAGGCCTACAGATGCTGAAAAGAAACAAGGACTTTCCCCCAGAGCTGACAGAGAAAGAATGCCTGCCCCTAGAGCTGGCACCCTGAACTTGGACTTCTGGCCTCCTCAACTGTGAGAAAATAAATTTGTCTTTGTTAAAGCCACCCACTTGCAGTATTTCTGTTACAGCAGCACTAGATAACTAAGACACCATCCACGAAAGAGATCGACACAATAGCTATAACAATGGGCTCAAGCACACCAACGATTATGAAGATGGAGCAGGACAGGCCACATGTGGTTCTGTGATACACGAGTCACCTAGAGTCAGAGCCAACAACCACCACAAAGGTTCTTCCAGATGTCCTGAATTTGGGCTCCACGTGGGATGGATCTGGGTCCCAGGGAGTAGAGGGCAGAGCTGCTTTGTAAAGGGCACTGGGCTTGGCTGAATAGTGTACTCCAAAATTCATGTCCATCTGGAACCCGTGAATGTAACCATATTTGGAAATAGGGTCTTTGCAGGTGTAATTAGTTAAGGTGAGATGAGGGTGGGCAATGACTTGTGTCCTTATAAGAAGAGGGAAATTGTGGACACAGACGCACAGACACACAGGGGAGAGGGCCACGTGAAGACAGAGGCCGAGATGGAGCAATGCATCATCGGTCAAGAACACCAAGGATTGCTGGCAACCACCAGAAGCTGGAAAAGGCAAGGAAGGATCTTCCTCTGGAGCCTTCAGAGGGAGCATGGCCCTGTCGACACCCTGATTTCACTCCAGGGATACTGGTTTCCAACTTCTGGCCTCCACAATGGAGACATAAATGTCTGTTGTTTGAAGCCATCCGGATTGTGGCACTTTGTATGGCAGCCCTTGAAAACCAGTCAGAGTCCCTGGGTGCAGAGGCCTATTTGTGGGAAACCGTGCCACGGCAAGCAGTGACGCTGCGCCTGGGCAGGACCATGAGGCGGTAACGAGCGCCTAGGGCAATCTCTAAGTTACGCTCCCCGCCCCCCAATTTCAGGATGATTAGACGTTGATAGCGGTGACGTGTCAACAGAAACGCCTTTCCCCCTCTTGTCCAGCTGCCTCAGTCAGGCGCCTTTCATACTTATGGCACCTCAGATTGTCGTTCCTCACCTTGTCTGGCGCCCCCTTGGTCTTGCACCTGAGGGCAAGTGCCCCCTTCTGTGCCCCCCAACCCCAACACCCTGCTATGCCTCTTTGTCTACTGTGCTTGAGGAAGGATGTTGGGCCATACCAGGTTAATAGAAACTGCTCAGTGCCCCTCCGTCTTCAAGTGGCACCCAGGACATCTGCCATACCTGCCATACCTTAGATACACCTCTGCCTGAGTGGTGCTCACGATTATATGCTTGACTACTAACCGAAAGGTTGGCAGTTTGAACCCATCCAGAGGCCTCAGAAGAAAGGCTGGCAATTGACATCCCACAAGTTCACAGACTTCAAAATCCACTAGAACACAGTTCTACTCTGCCCACCAGGCCGCTGTGAGTTGGAATCGACTCAACAGCAACTAACAAGTGAACTAATACAGCATGGTCTTTGGCCCGCTCTGCCCCCTGCATGTCCTTGAGCATTCTGAGACTCAGCATATATATCCGTAAAATGGGACTCCACCACACCCCTCATTGCCCCCCTCCACCGGACCTGGTGGAAGGATAGGAAGGAAGGACAGCGCAGATGACGGCCCCATGCCCCGGGTACCTGTGTGGGTTTGCCGAACCACTTCCAGAGCTGCCGGGCCGGCAGGAAGGCGGCAATCTTGGGCCGGTTCTCCACGGATGGCAGGCGCTGCCGCTTGGCCAGCTCCTTGGTGGTGGGGAGGTGGACGCCCTCCCTCTTTTTGGGCCGGCTCTTGCCACCCGCCCCAGCCTGGGCCTTAGGCTGCGGGGGCTGCGGCGGCGGGGGTGGCGGGGGCTGGGGGGCTGGAGTCTTCTTGCCAGGGGAGGGGACCACAGCCCTTGCCTTGCCTGCCTGCTTAGAGGCCTTGGTGGGGAGGGTGGGCTGGGCGGAGGGAGCAGCCGCGGGAGTCGGAGTGGCCTCGTCGTCCGAGCTGCAGGAGGAGTCCTCGTCGGTGGTGGAGGAGGAGGAGGAAGAGGAGGAGGAGGAGGAGGAAGAAGAGGAGGAGGAGGAGGAAGACGAAGAGGAAGAGGAGGAGGAAGAGGAGGAGGAAGAAGAGGAGGAGGAAGAAGAGGAGGAGGAGGAGGAAGAGGATGAGGAGGAAGAAGAGGAGGAGGCAGGAGAGGAGGCCCTGGAGCTGGCAGCACTGCAGGCCCGGCCCCCGCCGCCCCGGCCTTCCTCGCTGTTCTTCCCACCCTCCTCCTCGGCCTCTGTCTCCGAGCTGCTGCTGCTGCTGCTGCTGCTGCCACTGCTGTCCCCGCTGCTGCTGCTACTGCTCTCTGACTCCTCTGCCCCGTCCTGCTCAGCCTGGCCCTTGTCCGGGCTCTCGGGGCCCCCCGAGTCCTCAAACTGCAGCCCCGGCCCAGGCTCTGGGGGCAGCTCGCCATCCAGGGCCTTGGGCCGCCCAGGCTTGGGCTCACCGCCGCCAGCGGCCGGGGGGAAGCTGCCCAGGCCCGGGAGGCCCTTGGGCTCCTGCCAGCCCCCTGTGGCTGTGTCCTCACGGAGGAGCAGCGCCTCCTTGGCCTTCTTGCTCTTGGGCGACGTCACGCCCTCGTGGTCCAGTTTGACGAGCAGCTCGGTCTCCTCACCAGACCTCCTAGGGCCCTTGGCGCCCGGCTCCTCGGCTGCCCGCACCTTCTTGGGCTTGGGGCGGGTGGCGGGCATGGTGAGGGGCATGGTCACGAGGGGCACTGGGGCCACAGCCGTGGGGGGCGCAGGCACCTCCCCAAAGGGCTCGGGAGCCGGGCAGCCGGCAAAGCTGGGGGGAACGGGGCTGGGCTGGGGGGGTGACGAGCGGGCTTTGGAGGCTTTAGGCCGCTTCTCCATGGGCTCTGGGGGGCTCTTCTTGGAACTTGGGGTGCTGATGGGCTCCAGAGCCAAGGGGGTGCTGGGGACCTCGTCCGTGGAGCCCCCCTCCTCCAGGACAGTAGTTTTCTCTAAAAGAGAGAAGAAAACGTAGCAGGGGCTGCTGTCTGGTGGGGCCAGGGGAGCCCCTCATTTCAGTGCCAGCTCTGCCAACTCTCATGTGGGGCTGGGGATGGGGCACAGCCCCCAAGCCTTGGGAAGACTGGTTCCCTCATCACAAGCACACTAACTCCTGTGGACCCCATGTCGCCCTCTGGTGGCCTCAGCTTTTAGCCCCAACCCTGTTTCCCCAATTCCAGGGTCAAACACGCCCAGGGTTATGCTGGAATTTCCCTCCTGCCTCTCACCTGGCGCAACCTTCCATAGACCAATTTCCCTCCCACAGCCTCAGTTTCCAAATCTGTCCACTGCTTCACAAAGCCCTCCCCACGCGAGCAACGTTCTGACAAAGATGGGAGTGGTCTCCCGAGCCAAGTCACAGGTAGCCCCCACCCCTGCGGACACATCCCTGGTGTGGCTCCCGCCCCACATCTGCCCCACATACCGCCCTTGGCCTTGGTGCTGGGCTTCCGGCCGCGGCCTCTGGCTTTGGCGCTGGGCTCCTCGGCCCCCGCTGTGCCCCCTTCTTTGCCTTCCCCGGTATCTTTGCTGGTTTTCCGGATGCGGCGCTTGGCGCTTGGCACCAGGAGGGCCGGGGACGGCTCGGCACCTGCAGGGCACAGCAGACAGAGACTCAGGCGGGTTCCCTTGGCAGGCTGCCCTGCTCATGTGTCATGGGGGGCATAGCCTTTGCAGGACTATCAGGGGAGATGGGTGACCCCATGTAGCTGATTCCCGCCCGTCTCCCCAAAAGGCTATGAGATCAGGCAGGGCAGTCATGTCCGCGGGACGCGGCTCAGAGCTGTCTGCACACACAGGATGCCCCACCAATGCTTATGGACGTTAAGGGGCGAAGGCCCAAAATGGAGTCCTCTGTGATTTCCATGGTTCCACTGGAAAACGTTCAAAACCACTGGTGGTACCAATCTCTGGAAGTCGGCCAGTCCTGAACCCAAACCTGCCCCTTAGGCGTGTGGGGCCCTAGGTAAGTCATGTCTTCCTCCACCCCCAAGCCCAGTTTCCTCGCTGTCAGTCAAAGGGGATGGGAGCCCCAGCCACACAGGAGGAAGGCAGGAACTCACTGATCTGTGGACATGACGGGCCTGCAGCTAACAATCAGTGGTCAGTCCCCTGCTGTCTGGCTGCCAGCCTGGGGCTGCCCTTGTGGACCACGGAACCCAGGAAGAAGCCACAGGGGGAGCCAGGGCTTTACACATGGGACAGAAGAGAGGTGCCCCAGGACCCCCTCTCCCAGCCCACTCTGGGAGCCCTCCACCCATGGTTTCTGCCATTTCTATCTCCAGTGGGTCGAAAGGGTGAAGCCCAGGGCCGGCAACCCAGAGGCTCCTGAGCCTGCAGCCACAGCCTAGGCTGGGCAGGCGGAGCTGCCCAGTGGGGGATCCGTGCTCCAGGCCAGGGCAGCAGGTCCCAGAAGTCAGCAGGCTCAGCACTCACACTGGATCTTGTAGTCAGGAGGCAGGAGGCGGATGTGGGACAGGGGGATCCTCCCAGTATCTCCGTCATCAAACTCCACGGTGATGAGGTCCCCGTCGTCCTCAAGGTCAAGCAACCCTGATGGCGGAAGGGCAGGATGAGGGGGCCCTTGGACCCCTGGCTGCTTGGTGGGGCATGAGGGTGAGGGGGTGGCAGTAACTGGTCCCTAAGCAACCTTAAAGATCCCTGGGTGGTGCAAATGATTTGAGCTCGACTACTAACCTAAAGGTTGGCAGTTCAAACCCACCCAGTAGCACTGCAGAAGAAAGGCCTGGCAATACGCTTGTATAAAGATTACAGTCAAGAAAACTCTATGCAGGACATAAAATGATACTCGTGAAGAACGTGCTTCTTAGCTACGGTAGATATATGAGACTAAATGGGCAGCTCCTGTCCGGAGGTGAGATGAGAAGGCAGAGAGGGTCAGGAGCTGGTTGAATGGACACAGGAAATCAAGAGTGGAAAGGAGGAGTGTGCTGTCATTAGCATAGGGAGCGCAACTAGGGTCACATAACAATGTATGTATAAAATTTTGTATAAGAGATTAACTTGAATTGTAAACTTTCACTTAAAGTACAATAAAATTTAAAAAAGAAAACTCTATGTAGCAGTTCTGCTCTGTAACACCATGGGGACACCGTGAGTCGGAATCGACTCAAGGACAACTAACAACAATTACTAAGTCAAATCCAATACTTTTAAAATTATTATTATTTACATAGTACTAATGGGTCTTCAGAGCCCTGGTGGTGCAGTGGTTAAGAGCTCGGCTGCTAACCAAAAGGTCGGCAGTTTGAATCCACCAGCCGCTCCTTGGAAACCCTATGGGGGCAGTTCTACTCTGTCCTATATGGTTGCTATGAGTTGGAATCGATTTGACGGTAACAGGTTTGGTTTTTGGTTTTTTAATGGGTCTTCAGGAGCTCTGGTAACGGAGTTGATAAGCTCTTGGCTGCTAACTGAAAGGTTGGCAGTTTGAATCTACCTGCCACTCCACGGAAGGAAGATGCTGCAGTCTGCTTTCATAAAGATTTACAGCCTTGGAAACACTATGGGACAGTTTTACTCTGCCCTATAGGGTTGCTATGAGTCAGAATCAACTTGATGGCAGTGGGTTTGGTTTTTTGGCTTTTAATGGGTCTTCAAGAGTCCCTGGATAGAGCAAAAAGTTAAGCACTCAACTACTAGCCAAAAAGTTGGCAGTTAGAACCAACCCAGAAGTGCCTTGGAAGACAGGCCTGGCGATCTGCTTCTGAAGGTCACAGCCTTGAAAACCCTGTGAATCGCAGTTCTACTCTGCACACACAGGGTCGCCATGAGTCAGAATCAACTTGATGACAACTAACAACAACAATTAACCTTTGGGTGGCATCTGGGGTCTTAAAAGCTAGTGAGCGGCCATTTAAGATGCATCAATTAGTGTCAACCTACCTGGAGCAAAGAAGAATGAATAACACCAAAGACACAAGGAAAGTATTAGCCCAAGATACAGAAAGGGCCACATAAACCAGAGACTCCATCAGCCTGAGACCAGAAGAACTACATGGTGCCCGGCTACCACCAATGACCACCATGACAAGGAACACAACAGAGAGTCCCTGACGGAGGAGGAGAAAAGTGGGACGCAGAACTCAAATTCTAGTAAAAAGACCAGACTTAATGGTTTGACTGAGACTGGAGGGACCCTGGAAGACATGGCTCCCAGACTCTCTGTTAGCCCAAAACTAAAAACATTTCCGAGGCCAACTCTCCAGACAAAGATCAGACTGGACTATGGGACATAAAATGATACTCGTGAAGAGTGTGCTTCTTAGCTCCAGTAGATACACGAGACTAAATGGGCAGCTCCTGTCCAGACGTGAGATGAGAAGGCAGAGAGGGTCAGGAGCTGGTTGAATGGATATGGGAAATCCGGGGTAGAAAGGAGACGTGTGCTGTCAAAGTACAGGGAGAGCAACTAGGGTCACATAACAATGTGTGTATAAATTTTTGCATGAGAAACTAACTTGAATTGTAAACTTTCACTTAAAGCACAATTAAAAAAAAAAACATTAACCTAAAGGTTGGCAGTTGGAACCCACCGAGCAGCACTGAGGAAGAAAGGCCTGGCAATGTGTTTCCATAAACATTATAGCCAAGAAAACCCTAAGGAGCAGTTCTACTCTAACACATGGGTCACCATGAGTCAGAACTGACTTGACAGCAACAAGTTTTTAAAAAGCCTTGATCTCAGGACACCTGTGGCGGGTATGCAGTGGTGTGTAATGTGAGCTTTACAGCTACACAGTCCTGGCAGGATACTGGCTTCCCTCTTTCTAGCTCAGTGAGTTCGGTCAATACAAATGTTACAGAGTGTGTGTCCTGGACTTCCTGCTCCACGTGACAGCTGCCCACCTGCCCTGCCCACTGAACACCCAAGATCCTCACCAAAATAACAGTAAAGAAATCAAAAGGGCTTAGACCCCAAAGTTAGAAAGCCCAGGCCAGAAGCCAGCAGCACATGAGAGGTGGCAGCATCGAGAAAGATGGAATTGGAGTGGACGAGTAGTCACTAGCTTTTGCCTCAGTGTTCTCTGCTTTGTTTGGTGCTTGGAGGGAGGAGATGCCAATGAGAAGCTATCTGGCACCTCTGGAGGTAGGGGTGCAGGAGGGGCCAAACAGTGACCAGGCTGATTGTCATGGAGCCAACATGAGCTGAGAGCTTTACTGCTGGAGAGGGGCTCTAGACTGAAGGCTATTAGGTACAGGTGAGGATGGTGGTACAGGTTAGGGTAAGGTGAAGGTACAGGTGAGGCTGGTGGTACAGGTAAGGGTACAGGTGACGATACAAGGGAGGTACCGTTGAGTATGGTTATACAGGTGAAGGTACAGGTAAGGATGGTGGTACAGGTGAGGATACAAGTGAGGATGGTGAGCAGGCACCTGAAAGATGACACTCAACCCCTTTCCCAAATGCCAGATGTTAATACTATAGCCCCAAAGATAGAGGTTTTGGGGAATCTGGCCGGTGAAAAGGAAAAGAGGGTCCCTGGGTGGTGTAAATGGTTTGCACTTGGCTGCTAATCTAAAGGTTGGCTATTTGAACCTACCCAGCGGCAATGTGGAGAAAAGGACTGACAATCTGCTTTTGTAAAAGATTATAGCCAAGAAAGCCCTGTGGAGCAGTTCTACCCTGCAACACATGGGGACGCTGTGAGTTGGAATCGACTCAACTGCAATAGGTAAAGGGAAAAGGCCTACAGACACTGGCATTTGGGAGTCCCCCAACGAACGATTCCTGCCTGCTCAATGTCACGAGGCTCCACCCATGAACAGCTTCCAACTCTCTTGTTAATATCTCACTCTTTGCTCAAAAAAAATTCTTTGCCAAGGATGACCAGAGACTTAAAGGACAGCATCTAATGAAAGAAAGAACCTAGAACTAACAGAGGTGCAAGAGCATGTAGAAGAAATAGAGACAATATAGGAAACAAAAGAAAACTACAATGAAACAGATGTATCATTTGAAAAAGAAATTTTTAAAGGCAATGTTCCCAGAGAACAAAAAGATGTTATTAAAAAAAAAATTCAGAGAATATGAAAGAATTCTTGGAAATTTTTTAAATGATGGCAGAATTTTTTTAATTAAATAGAAGGAGGAGAAGATAAAGATGCGGAGCTCCCCCAGAAGGTTGAACAAAAAGATAAAGAAATAAATAATAGAGAGGATCAATCAGGGAAAATATGTAAAATAATGGGAGGAAACTATCCAAAATATAATACAGTAAACCTGCCAAAGACACAACCTGTGTAAGGCAGAAACCTGGCAGAGGAAGAAAACTCAACTATTTTCCACTAATGGAGAGTGACAGAAAACTGGTAAGACTGCACCTTGTTAAAGGTGGAAAACATGTGAGACTCAGAAAAACAAGGCAGTCCCATCAAGTTCTAACTGTCACAGGTTTCACTGTACAAGACAAGTTTCCAGAACTAAAGGAAATTTGCTTCAAAATCAAAATCTTCCACCTCCAGAATCCAGCATGATAAAAACACAAACACCAACACACATCCAGAAAAGCCACATGAAACTCCAGATCTAGGGATAATGACAAGATGCTAAAAGTTTCCAGAGAGAAAAAAACAGACCTCCTACAAAGATTTGGGAATACTAATGGCACTGGATTTTTCAAACAACACTGGAAGCAAGATAAAAATGGAACAATGATTTTGAAATGGTGAGAGAAAATTATTTGCAACCCAGAATTGTATACCCAGCTCAACTATCTCTCTGGGTATACTAATACCCAGTGATTTCAGACATGCAAGTACTTGAGAAAGATCCCTACTAAAATGAAGGAATACACCAAGAAAGAGAAATACATGAGATTTAACACAAGAGGGATGTAAAAGGAATTATCAGAAGGATGAAATTCTCTTGGGGAAGTCCCAAGAATGACAGATGTGTGGCCAGCCTAGAAAGTAACTAGTCCCTCCTAATGGTACAGAGGGACAGAAGGCTTCAGGACACATAAACCCAAGACAAACTTTTACTGTATTAACAGGACTTTTAGAATTTTCTGAAGAGTTTGATGACAAATTAGTAACTATTCAATGGAAAAATAAGCCTTCCTCGTCTGACGTCCTGTGTCAGACATCTGAGACAGCATTAGACATCTGTTGTTCTGCCTGCTAGTATCCTTTTTCCTGAGGAGCCCTGGTGGCCCAATGGTTAAGTACTTGTGCTCAGCTGCTAACTGAAAGGTTGGTAGTTTGAACCCACCCAGCAGCGCCATGGGAGAAAGACTCGGTGATCTGTTCCTGTAAAGATTACAGCTTAGGAAACCCTATGGGTCTGTCCTATAGGGCCTGCTCTGTCCTATAGCGTCACTATGAGTTGGAATCGAATTGACAGCCATGGGTTTGGTTTTTTTGGTTTATCCCTTTTCCCATGTACAGTTTATCATCATTATTTGTGGATTCTGTATTTGCACACTTGCCTACTCGCTAAAAACTATCCGTAACCTCATAATCAGTACTTGTGGTGCTTTCGTGGCCATTCATGGACATGTATGCATACACGGTATGAGAACTTGAGTTGTTCAACATGCTCATTCCCAGCTACGGTCAAATAAGACTGGTTCTGTATTCACTAATTCAGTGTTCATGCTGACGTTATAGAACATAGGTACTGCAAATAACAAGAACTGACTGTATGTGTGGATGTTAGATAGCCAAGAGGTGGACTGTATTTGGCATAGTTTTTTTTTTTTTTTTTCTATAAGCAACATCCATACTGCCATCTTCTGGATGTGCTGGGTTTGAAATAGCTAAAGATGTACCATTTTGAGGGTCTGCTGTTCTTCTCTGCCTACGTCTTCTGGAGTACCTGTTATTTTTGTCTACCCAGCATCTACTCTCTCTGATTCTGGTAACAACTTCCCAATTTTCTTTGGGAAGCCAACTTCCCCGTCTCCCTCTATCCACGTGTAAGAGAAAGCTGACCACAATCCTTAGCTTCAAGGATGAGAACATGAACCAGGGCTAGTCAGGACCCACAGTGAAGGGTTCAGTGATAACCACGGGACCCATGTCAGTTCAGTGTGACACCATGGTATGTGGGAAAACTTTGGGGGTGAGAACTTCTTGGATCATAGGATGTGTTGAAACAGTAAAAGATAGTCCCCAAGGTGTTGGAAGCCACCTTTGCCTGCCTAGGAGTGAAGCTGGCACAAATGAGAGCATTGCTGACAGGTGTCGAGAGCTAAGTCCTGATGACATTGTTTGAGTAACACGTGGGTCCATCACGCCTAAACGCCCGTGAGCTGATAAAATTTTTTATGCTTAAGCTAGTGTCATGGATTGAATTGTGTACCCTCAAAAATATATGTTGGAATCCTAATCCCCATACCTGCAAAAGGAGCCCTGGTAGTGCAGTGGTTAAGCACTCGGCTGCTAATTGAAGGTCAGTGTTTTGAATCTACCAGCCGTTCAGTGGGAGAAATATGTGGCAGTCTGCTCCCATCAAGATTTCAGCCTAGGAAACCCTATGGGGCAGTTCTACTCTGTCCTATATGGTCGCTATGAGTTGGAATCAACTCAATGGCAATGGGTTTATACCTGTGGATGTAATCCCATTTGAGAATAGGGTTTAATCTTTGTTATGTTAATGAGGTCATGTCAGTGAAAGGTATATCTTAAACCTAATGACTTTCGAGATATAAAAAGAGCAGATTAGATGCACAGAGACAAGCAAGTACAAATGGGGGAAAGGCAGATGCCACGTGGGGATCACCAAGAAACTGAGGAACGTAGGGGCTACAGAAGCTGAGACAGACAAGGATCCTTCCCCAGAGTGGACAGAGAGCAAGCCTTCCCCTGGAGCCAGTGCCCTGAATTCGGACTCGTAGCCTCCTGAAATGTGAGAAAATAAATTTCTGTTTATTAAAGTCCCTCACTTGTAGTATTTTTGTTATAGCAGCACTGGGACACTAAGACAGCCAGTCAGAGTGGAATTCTGGCGACGAAACGAAGCCATAGTGATACGTTAGGGGACAAGGAAGTCCCAGGGAGGGCGAGCTCACCTCGGACCACGGTGCCCGGGTAGAGGCAACGGTACTGCTGGCTCCAGTAGGCAGCAATCCTGGTCCCCTGGGGCAGGAAGCGTGCAGAGGTCGGCCTCACATCGATGATCTGAGGAGAGCAAGCGCATGAGGTGGAATGAAGTCACAGTCTCAGCCTCTGACCCTCCTTGCCAACCCTCACAGGCCCGGCCCCGCCCCCTCACCGCCTCCTGCAGCAGCTGCTCCAGACAGTAGATGTGGGGTCGGTTCCCACGCTCGCCCTCCACCACCACGCGGTATCTGCAAGGCCAGGTCAAAGGTGGGTGTGGTGGCAGAGGCCCGAGACGCCCCCCAGCGGGTGTCTTTACTAAGCCTGAGGCCCCCAGGCCCACTACCACTAGCTCTCCCCAACAGAGCCCTGAGCCAGGAAATCAGAAATTCAAGGCTGCCTGATTTGCTGCAGAAAGTGGGGGCCAAGCCTCCGTTTCATCTGTATAACTAGGGGTGGTAGGGTAAGATGGAGTCCCTGGGTGGTGCAACTGGTTCATGCACTCGGCTGCTAACTGGAAGGTTGGAGGTTCAAGTCCACCCCAAGGTGCCTGAAAGAAAGGCCTGGTGATCTACTTCCAAAAATCAGTCATTGAAAACCCTGTGAAGCACTCTGACACAAATGGGGTCACCATGAGTGGAAATCGACTCTATGACAACTGGTTTTTGGAGTCCCTGGGTGGTGCAAATGGTTAAGGCACTCAATTGCTAACTAAAAGGTTGGAGGTTCAAATCCACTCAGAGGATCCTTGGAAGAAAGGCCTGGCAATCTACTTTCAGAAAATCAGCCACTAACAATCATAGAGAGCACAGTTCTACTCTGACACACACAGAGTTGCCATGAGCTAGAATCAACTTGATGGGAACTGGTGGCAGTGGTGATAGAGCACAGTGAACCTGTCCAACCCAGATCCCAAGAGAGGCCACCACTCTCCCTCTCCCCTTCCCACTATGACCGGCCCCCCACTAAGAGATCCACCAAGTGCTTCTCCTCCCGTCTCCCTGGAGCCTGGCCTCACCCCCATCTGCCCTATCTGAGAGACGGAAGCAATGGCTCGGAGAGTGGATGCAGCTTGCCCAGAAGCAAAGCAGGGCTCTGCTGCAGGCCAGAGGCCAGTCCCCCATGCTGGCCTGGCACCCCCTGCCCTGATGCCCACTCACATGTCTGGCGAGTGCACAGTCTGCACGTGCCCAGCATACAGCAGCTTGTCGTCCATGGGAATGAGCACACGCAGCCCGTCCTTAAGCTCGTCCTTGTCGATGACGCAGGAGCGGGGGGCTGTAGTAGGGGGCAGTGAGGTGGGTGGGGTGAGGCGGCCCTCCCCTGCACGACTCTCCTCCTGGGCCTGCCCATGCCCCCTCACTGAGTCTGTGGGCCATGTGTGCACCCCTGGTGCACGGGTCCTCACAAAAGCACATGCGTGTGCATGCCAGCAGGTACATAGGACCCTTGCTTCCTTCCACCTCCTTTCTCGGCCCCCAGAAAGATCCCAGGAGTGAGGGAACCCCCAATCCCAAAGACCCACACCCCTGTGCCCAGACATGAAGGTCTGGGTTATCAACCCGCCTGCCTCCCATTCAGGGTCAAAGCTCAGGACCCTCTCCCTCCCAGGCCCACGCACCCCTTGCTGGTGCTGACCGCGGCCACACCCAGAACCTCAGACAGGTCTTTTCTCCACCTAGAATACCTTCCTCAATATCCCCCAGCCAAACTTTCCAAACTGCTGTCAGCACCCACTGCCCTTGCTTTCTCCTCTCTCTCTCTCATCCCTCAGCCCAAGTCTACCCTCTCACACCCACAAAACTGCTCTTGCCTAGGCCACTAAGGGTGTCATCAGCATGAAGGCTATTGTTCAGTCCTTGCTCCCCTGACTTTTCACCAGTGTTCAATACCATGGACCACTCTCCTTCTTAAACCACCTCTTTTTTGGACCCCCTGCACACCATACTCTCTGCTATGGGTTGAATCGTATCCCCCCAAAATTTATGAAGTCCTAACCCCTGGTACTGTGAAAGTGACCTTGTTTGGAAATAGGGTCTCTGAAGATGTTATCAGTTAACATGAGATCACACTGGAGTGGGGTGGGCCCTAATCCTAATCCCTTCTGAGTGATGTCTTACAAAATGGGAGAAGACCATAAACCACTGCCTCCTTTGCCATGAGACCAGAAGAACAGGATGGTGCCTGGCTACCATTACTAAATGTTTTGATCAATGATTCTATAGAAGAACCCTGATCAAAAGGGTGTGAAATGCAGAACAGAATTTCAAATTCTCATGGAATTCAGACTTCCTGGAGCCACTGAGGCTAGATGAACCCCCGAAAGTACTGCCCTGAGATAATCTTTAAACCTTAAACCAAAAATATCTCCTGAAATCTTAAAACCAAACAATAGTTAAGCTTTATTAGTAAAGAATGTCTCCCTTGAGTATTATGCTCATTTAAGAAATATCTACATGGGATCAAATTGACAACAGCAACTTAAAAGATTACATAGGAACCTTAGGAGTAGTGAGTTTATGTTACTGGGGGAGGAAAAACTTAGAAAAGGAGGGTGATAATGGCTGCACAACTCAAAGGATGCAATCAATGTCACTGAATTGTACATGTAGAAGCTGTAGAATTGGTTGGTTTATGTTCTACTGTGCATATTTTCAACTACAAAAAAAAAAAATTTTTTTAAATGAAGAAAAAAAACTGCAGACCAGTGTCCTGGGGCAGATGGAATGGCCACTCACTTTTCATCTCTCCCATGCCCTGGCCGTGGCCTTGTCCTCCATGAACTGTACCTCCCGTCCCTTGATCTGGGTTTGGCCATGCCACTTGCTTCGGCCAGTGGCATGAGGTAGAGGACAGAGTGCCAAATCTGAACCTAGCCCCAAGAGGCCACACACACATTTCCACCTTCCGTGTACCCTGGCAGCACTACCATGAGAGAAGACGCCCTGGCTAGCTTGCTGGCCTCAGGCCAGCTCACTGGACATGTGAGCCATGGAGCCAAGCCAGCCAGCCTGGATCAGTCCGTCTGCAGCCTGCCCATTGTGTGGGCCAGCCGGGCAGAGGACATGCTTGTTGTTCAACAGATGTGGTGGTTGTTTGTTACACAGCCACAGCTGACTGATATGCTTCCCCAGATGACATTCAGGGACGGCCCTGCTCCTCCTCTCACTCCATGCTACCTGCTTGAATGGGTATATCCATCACCCCACTCCCATACGATCAATAACCACCACTGCTCTTATATTCCTCAGTTCATACCTGCCGTCTCTCCTGCACGCTCTAGACCCCCAAGTCTGAGCAGCTCCTCGATGTCGCTTCCATGGGACATCCCCCAGCACCCCACACTTTAGCCAAAACAGCCCAGTGCACAATCTCCCCGTTCCTTCCATGACCCTGGTCTCAGTGGCAGCCTCCCACCATCCCCCCAAGCCAGGCTGGGGACCCTCCGCCACCACCAGTTGCCACCCTGTCTCCTTTCTCATCTGTTCACACAACCCATCACTACATCCCAACCTCCCTGTTAATGTACTCAAACTCACTCCTTATTATGGATTGAACTGTGTCCCCTCAAATTACAGACTGAAATTCTGGACATACAGTGTTAAAATTAATCATGAGATGAAATCAGCTGGCCTTGGGAGAGCAAATCACCTCCCACAATGCAATCTAATGTAATGTGACGACCATATGCCACAAGTGATGTAATGTAATCATCTTCCATAATGCAATCTAATGTAGTATGTAATTAACCAATCAGATGAGGTCATACCAATGCAGGGTGGGTTCTAAACTTAATCACTTCTGAGTTATAAAAAGAGCAGAACAGATACAGGGACACACAAAAAGAAGAAAGACATCATGTGAGGGTGCTCTACAAGCCAAGGAACCAAGGAATGCCCAGGGCTACCAACAAGGAAGGAATCAACAAGGACAGAAACGACAAGGAAGGAACAGATGCAGCTGAGACTCTGATGTGGATTTTTAGCCTCCAGAACTGTGAGAAACTACACATCCGCTCTTTCAAGCCACTAACTTGTGGTATTTGTGTTACAGCAGCACGAGGACACTAAGACATCCTCTGTCTCTATCCCTGCTACACCCACAACAGTCCAGGTCACCACCAAATCCTGCCTGGATGCTTGTAACAGCCACCTCCCTGGACTCCCACCTCCCCTCAGGGCCCCTACAGTTCACACTGTGTAGCAGCCGAAAGGATCATTTAAAAACCAAATCCAACCACGCTGCTCCTCCACGTATAACTTTTGATAGATAGCTTCTTGTTTTCCTTCGGGCAAATACAGAACTCCTCACCAAGGCCCATGAAACTGTGTGGTCCTACTTCTGCCTCCCTAGGCCGTTCTCTCACCTCCCAAACCACAGGGAAGCCAGCCTTCTTACAGTTTATCTCGGGGGCTGTATTCCTGCCTACCCCAGGGCCTTTGCACATGCCATTCCCACAGTCACCCCCATCCCCGGCCCTTTGCCAGCTCCACTCCAACTTCTCTCAGGCCTTGGCTCAGATCTAACTGGCCCAGGGAAACCTCCTGCCTCGCCATAATCCAGGTCTGAGCAGCCCTGGCTCCATGCCCAGAAGTCTGACCCTGAGCAGCCCCACCCCCAGCATAGGCACCCACCTGGTGTCAATGGCCGCTCCAGAGCCCCACTGCGTGGGAGGTGTTCATCTTCGGAGAAGCTGGAGTCCTGGTTGGGCTCAAAGTCCTCCTCAGCAGCCATGCTCTCCATCAGCTTGCTCACGGCGCCCCCCTTCCCACGGTTCTGGGACAGAGCAGAGCAGACCCCAGCTCAGAGGAGGGCAATGCCATCCTGCTGGGCTGGGGGCCTCCCTGAAAACCCGGGATCCTGGTCAGGCTGCAGAGTCATCTGGCAGGTACTCTGGGGACTGTGCTGGCCTTCTGCATGGGGGGACTTCACCCCAGAGGCCATGCCCATGACCCCCTCGCCAGGGCTTGATGCTGTGCTGAAGTGACCATCATGCAGGCACCTCAGCTCCCTGCAGAGAAAATGAAGGGCTTGTCGGCAGCCTCGGGAGAGGGAAGGTGGGAACCTGGCCCAGGTGGGGGCTAGCTGGAGCGAGGGGCAGGCACGAGCAGGTATGCCCCATCTGTCATCTGGGCAAAGGAATTCGCTCAGGCTTAGGGGAACACTGTCGGTCCCCTCACCCAGACATCATGTGGGAGTCACCAGCACCTCTCATTCTGGGGACAGGGGTGAGTCCTATTTATCCTTAAAGACTCAGCCACGTCCCTTTGCCTCTAGGACCACCACTGTGACAAGGGTCCAAACAAGAGCCCCTCAGCACAGAGGGGACCCTGCCTGACTCTGGAAACACATGACGCTGTAGCCCCACACACGGGTCTCTTCCACCTGCACCCTACCTGGAACAAGGTGCGAAGCCTCACCTCCTTTTTCACCTCCTTCCCCTTGGCCTTGGCCTTGCTCCTCTTGGTGGAGGCCAGGGAGCTGGTGTGAGGGGCCCGGGCCTCTGAGGGCAGGGCAGGTGCACGGGGCGGCGGCAATGCGGCTGCCGACCCCGTCTCCTTCCCCTTCTTCTTCTGCAGGAAGAACAGAGCAGAGCATCAGACAGCAAGGCCTCAGATCACTGCCTGCAGAGTGGGGGGCCTCATCCCCACCTGGCCTCAGCCCCTGCACCACCTACTCACCCTCCTCCCAACACCACGCCAACACCCAGGAGTTCGTTTCCGAGAGAGGACCAACTACTCTCTCTCCTTCTTGCAAATTTGTTTTTTATCTTGATCGTTTTACTACTACTGTATATTGTGTTGTTGTTAGGTGCTGCCACATCGAACTCCAACTCATACAGAGCCTATATGACAGAGCAGAACTGCCCCATAGGCTGTAATCTTTACAGGAGCAGATCACCAGGTCTTTTCTTCCATGGAGCAGCTGGTAGGTTCGAACTGACACCTTTTTGGTTAGCAGCCTAGCACTTAACCATTTCCCCACTTAACCACTTACTCTATATTACTTGTTGTAAAATATATATATACTGAATTGTATATAAAGCTGTGCAAACTCCTCTCCAATTATCCTACCAACCACACAGAAGTAAGCTCTAGTGACAGCCTGGCATATCCTTCCAGAAATTTCCACAAGCACACACAACCAGGTAAATACGAACGGTACGGGAACACAAAGGAGCCCTGGTGACGCAATGGTTAAGCACTCAGTTGCTAACTGAAAGGTCGGTGGTTTGAACCCACCAGCTTCTCCGCAGGAGAAAGATGTGGCAGTCTGCTTTCATAAAGATTTACAGCCTTGGAAACTCTATGGGGCAGTTCTACCCTGTCTTATAGGATCACCATGAGTCGGAATTGACTCAAAGGCAATGGGTATATGCGACACATTTATACACACACAGTACTTTTTTTTTTTTTTTTTTAATACAAATGGGAACTCACTGAAAGTCCTGCTTTGTAACCTCCCTTCCCCGCCAACACAGTATGCTTGGTATTAGAGTCCCTCGGAGGGGCAAACAGGCAAAGGGCTCAACTATTAACCAAACGGTTGGCAGTTCAAACCCACGCAGAGGTGCCTTGGAAGACAGGCCTGGCAATCTGCTTCCAAAAGGTCACAGCCTTGAAAACCCAATGCAGCAGTTCTACTGTGCACACACGAGGTCGCCATGAGTTAGAACTGTCTCAGCGGCAACTAGCAACATGTCTGATACATGTAGAGGTAGCTTCGTGTTTGTTTTCTAACAGCTGCCCAGTGTGCCACGGTGTGACCACAAAAAAAAAGGGAAAACCATTGCTGTCAAGTCGATTCCAACTCACAGCGACCCTATAGGACAGAGTAGAACTGCCCTAGCCCTAAGGTTTCCAAGGAGTACCTGGTGGATTCAAGCTGCAGACCTTTTGGTTAGCAGCCAAGTTTGCCATGGTGTGGAGGAACCATAATTCATTTAATCTCCTCTAGGTATATTAGGCTGCCTCCATTTTTTTCACCCTTCCAAATGATGCCAGAAAAATATGACATTACTGATTAGTTCTATGCCTTCTTCCTAGAAGCATATGTGAATCTGTCTAGCTACTGCCTCTAAGCTGTTTCCAGAATGTCTGTGTTCATTTCCATCTGCCCAGCAGTGAGGGGAGGGCCACACCCATCCCCACCTCAAAGTTACCCCCATAATGGCGAGATGAGGGCTCTTCCCCACTACAGGTGGGTATGGAAACTGGTCCAGGCCTCTTAAAACACAGCGTGTCCTACACCGAGCTTCTGTTGCTGGGTGCCGTCAAGTCAATCCTGACTCGTGGAGACCCCATATAACAGAGTACAACTGCCCCATAGAGTTGCCTAGGCTGTAATCTGTACAGAAGCAGATTGTCAGTCTTTCTCCACTGAAGCAGCTGCTGGGTTCAAACCACCAACCTTTCAGTTAGCAGCCGAGTGCTTAACCACTGTGCCACCAGGGCTCCTTGAGCTTCTGTTAAGGGTAATAATATAATTTTGGGAACAGAAGAGTGATGGTTGAATAACATGATGAACATCACTGAACTGTACATAAGAAGCCCTGGTGGCGCAGTGGTTAAGCACTCAGCTGCTAACTGAAAGGTCAGCGGTTAGAACCCACAAGCCGCTCCATGGGAGAAAGATGCAGCGGTCTGTTTCAGTGAAGACTTACAGCCTTGGAAACCCTATGGGGGCAGTTCTGCTCTGTCTTATAGGGTTGCTAAGAGTTGGGATTGACTCAATGGCAATTGGGACAGGAACTGTCCATGTGAAGATTGTTGAAATGACAAATGTTTTGTTACATATATAATTACCACCATCAAAAAAAAAAAATTTCTTACTAAACCACAACGTGTTCTGGACGAAGTAGATCAGAGGTTACCAGGGGCTGGGGGCAGGGGAGAGTGGGGAGTCATTGTTTAAGGGACACAGAGTTTCTGTTTGGGGTGCTGAAAAGGTTTTGGCAATGGATGGTGGTGGTGGTTGCACAACACGGTGGATGTGATTAATGTCCCTGAGTTGCACCCTTAAAAATAGCTAAAATGGCAAACTTTATATTATTTGTATTTTGCCATAGTAAAAACAAAAATACATAAAACAATGTATTCCATGACATTAAGCATTTGTCAAAACCCAGAGGATTGTACAACACAGAGAGAACCCTAATGTGAACTATGGGCTTTAGTTAATAATGTGTCAATCTTGGTTCCTTAATTGTAACCAATGTACCACAGCTATGCAAGGTAAGACTAATGGGCGAAATTGGAGTCCCTGGGTGGTGCAAATGGTTAATGTGCTCTGTTAAGGTTGGAGGTTTGAGTCCATCCAGAGGTCCCTCGGAAGAAAGTCCTGGCGATGTACTTCCAAAAAATCAGCCATTGAAAATCCTTTGGAGCAAAGTTCTACTCTGACACACCTGGGGTCGCCATGAGTCAGAGCTGACCTGACAGCAACTGGTTACCGACGTGGGTAGAGGGGAGAGCAGCTGTACAGAACTTATCTTTACTATCTGCACAATTTCTCTATAAACCTAAAACTCCTCTAAAATACAAAGTCTATTAAAAATTAAAACAAAACCCACAACGATGTGTCCTAAGGAGTAATCAGAGACAAGAATAAGATGTTTTCACAGGGAGAGTGTACAGCTTCATTTATCAGAGTCCCCAAACTGGAAACAACCTAAATGTTCAGCAACCTGTTGGGGAAACTCAGGTGGGTCCACGCATGCAGTTACATGCTTTTATTACAGCCGCCAACAGCCATGGTTCTCAAGAACAGCCAACAGCATGGGAAATGGGAATGATGATACTTTGTGAAAAAAGCAGGACTCAAAACTACAGTCAGCATAACCCAGAGGCTCTCAGATTCCGGAGGAATGTAACTTTATGCTTTTACAAGAGACCTGTCTAAAACAAAATGACCAAGGAAAGGGGCCAGGGGAGGTTGAAAATAAATAGAAAAAGATAATGCCGGGCAACGGCTGCCAAGACAACACTAGAAGCCAATACATTCATATCAGACAAGTCAAAATTGCATTAAAAGGAACAAAGAGGAAAATGTTGTAAGGATAAAAGCAATCTCCATTTTGGAAAAATCTTTAATAAAAAAGTTTAGTCTCTATTTTGGAAAAAATATATATATTTATATATACAGAGCCCTGGTGGCATAGTGGTTAAGAGCTCGGCTGCTAACGAAGAGGTTGGCAGTTCGAATCCACCACCTACTCCTTGGAAACCCTATGGGGCAGTTCTACACTGTCCTGTGGGGTCACTATGAGTCAGAAACCACTTGATGGCAACGGGTTTGGTTCGGTTTATTTGTATATACACTGTATTTCTTTGCTTCTGATGAGCATTTTAATCATATTCATATTTCTGAAATCAGACGGCATCCTAAGGGTTGAATGAATGTTTAACGTGGTTAAATTTCCTTTTCCCTCTAACGTCTGTTATTAAAGAGATAGTTCATTTTATGGGACTCGTCCTTGCTGCTGTACACACAGGAAAAAAAAGAAAAAGAAAAAAATTGTCCCTGAGTGGATTTTTACTTCCTTCCTTTTCTTTATCTTCATTTTCCAAACTACGGTTATCAGATAAAACTGTTACCTTTCCTTCTCTTTGGTCATAAAACCCATTTCTGAGAGTCTTTTTTTTTAAAAATAAGAAAATAATGCCAAATGCGAGAAAAGTTCTGCATACAGCACAGAGATGTTCATTGCTGTGGTATTTATAATGGCAAAATACTATCATCAACCAACCTATCTATGGGCAGCCTGGTCAACAGGGAGATAATGCAGACCATGTTGAGCTGTTATTCAGTCATTGAAAAGTATTTAAAAAAATAAGTGTTTACAAAAAGCTCCTAAGATCTGGACATGCACATGACATAATATTAAGTTTAAAAAGCAGGAGATAAACGTATACCACAAAAAAAAAAAAATGTTCACAGTGGTTTTTCTTGGGATGATGGGACGTGGGGTGATTTCCCTGGGTGTCTGTTTTGTACTTTTTTTGGACAATTAATCTGTCCTCTAGTTTCTTGGTACCTCATCAAAAGACTGGGACTGTGTGGGCCTCTGGTCCTCTCAGGTCCCTGGGTGGCACAAATGGTTTATGCTTGACTACTAACCTAAAGATTAGCAGCTCAAACTCACCCAGTAACACTGCGGGAGAAAGGCCTGGTGATCAGCTTCTGTAAAGATTACAACCAAAGAAACCCTACAGAGCAGCTCTACTCTGAAGCACATGCGGTCGCCGTGAGTCAGAACTGACTCCACAGCAGTGGGTTTGGTTTGTTTTTTTTTTTTTGATCTGGTCCTCTTGCCTAATGGCTCCGGGTCTTCAGACACTAGGAAATGGGAAGCCAAGGACTCTAGTGAGAATCCAACGGGGACCTTGGAGTGACTTGGGGTGAGGGGCTGTGGTGATGATGGAGTTAACAAAAGAAAGGCACCATCTTGAGCAAGGCCCAAGGAGGCAGTGTAGGTCAGTGGTTATGGCCCCAGCTCTGGAGTTAAACTCCTCCCTGGGTTCAAAGCTCAGCTCTGAGGAATATTAGCTGCTGCGGCCCTGGGCAAGCCACCTCTCATTTCACGTGTCACCTGTAAAATGAGTAACCTATCTCACGTTTTTTTTTTTTTAAATTGTACTTTAGATGAAGGTTTACAGAACAAATAGTTTCTCATTAAACAGTTAGTACGCATACTGTTTTATGACAATGGTTAACAACCCCACGACGTGTTGACACTGTCCCTTCTCAACCTTGGGTTCCCTATTACCAGCTTTCCTGTCCCCTCCTGCCCTCTAGTCCTTGCCCCTGGACCGTTGTGCCCCATCAGTCTTGTTTTGTTTTATGGGCCTGTCTAATCTTTGGCTGAACAGTGAACCTCAGGAGTCACTCCATTACTGAGCTAGAAGGATGTCCAGGGGCCATACTCTCGGTGTTTCTCCAGTCTCTGTCGGGCCAGTAAGTCTGGTCTTTTTTTCACATGGTTTTTAAAAAAATTGTAGTAAAATACACATAATATAAAATCTACCATGTTAACACTGAAATGTTTTAGTGTACAAGCGTACCATTCAGTGGTGTTAAGTGAATTCACCATGTTGTAGAACCATCACTACTATCTATTTCCAGATCTTTTTTATCATCACAGATAAAAACTCTACCCATTAAACAATAACTCCCCACTCCCCTTTCCCCAGCCCTTGGTAACTCCTAATCTACTTTCTGTCTCTCGCATTTGCCTGCTCTAGATACTTCATGCAAATGGGGTCGTACGATGTTTGTCCTTTTGGGTCTGGCTTCTTTCATTCGGCATCATGCTTTTCAGGGTTCATCCATGTGGTAGCTTGGATCAGGACTTCATTTCTCTTTATGGCTCAGTAATATTCCAATGGATGGATACAGCACGTTTTGTTTATCTATTCATCTGTTGATGGATCCTTGGGATGTTTCCACCTTTTGGGTATTGTGAATAGTGCTGCAGTGAACATTGGTGTACATGTGTCTATTTGAGTCCCTGCTTTCAATTTGTTTGGGTACATACCGAGGAACAGTATTGCTAAGTATTCAATAAGTATACAGGTGACACCATTAGCACAGTGGCTGGGCCCTACTATGGGTCAGCTGGTAGGGTCGTCTTCATTTTTATTGTTCTGGCACCTTCACCTCCAAGGCCCTGGAAACTTGAGAAGGCTTCAGCCATGAGGCTGAGGGACAAAGGAGATGGGAGATGGGTACAAATCCAAGGTGTCTGTAGATGACACAAAAACGCAGCCCATCCTCACTACCACCTGCTGTCTGGAGATCAATGTTTGAGTCTCATCCTTTGCTGTGACTTTCTCAAGAACGTCACTGGTATTTAAGGGTTCATTCTCCATGTTATGGATTGAATTGTGTCCCCCAAAAGATATGCTGAAGTCCTGTACCTGTGAATGTGACTGTGATGGTTAAGACTGTGTGTTAACTTGGCTAGGCCATGATTGTCAGTGTTTTGGCAGCTGTATAATGTTGTGATCACTTCCCTGTTGAAATCTGATACGTGATCACCCCCATGATGGGATCTGCTAAGTAGTCCTGGTGGGAGCGGGGGCTCTGGCAGCTCACCGCCCCCTCAGCCTTCATCTCTCCGCCCTCCTCTGCCTACTTCCTTCCGGCTTGCCTTGCCAGGGCTCTTGCTTGTTCTGGATCCTGCAGCTTGCTCTGGTTCGTCTGGCCTCCGGTTCTTGGGACTTGGGCTGGCAGCTTGCCAGCGGTCTTGCCTGCTGATCTGGACATTCATTGAGCTTCACGGCCTGCAGCAAGACTACGCTCCAGCCTGCTGATCTCGGGTTTGCCAGCCCCTGCAGCAACGTGGATCGGGTGAACCCTCTTTTCTGCTTCACGGACTTGGAACGTACAGCCTCTAGGAGTTGCATGAACCATTTTCTTGATATAAATCTCAATCTCTCTCTCTGTATACATATACGTTTTGCTGGTTTTGCTTCTCTGGAGAACCCAGCCTAAGATAGTGACCTTGTTTGGAAACTGAGTCTTTCTTTGAAGATGTTACCAGTGAAGTTAGTGAGGTCGTCCTAGAGTAGTCGTTGTTAGTTGCCATCGAGTTGATCCTGATGCATGGCAACCCCAAGTGTGCAGAGTAGAACTGTGCTTGATAGGGTTTTCAAGGCTGTGACCTTCTGGAAGCAGATCACCAGGTCTTACTTCCAAGGCACCTCTGGGTGGGTTTGAACCACCAACCTTTCAGTTAGTAGTCCAGTGCTTAACCATATGTGCAACCTAGAGACTCTTTACTAGAGTAGGATGGGTCCTAATCCTGTATGACTGGTGTCTTATAAAAGAGTATGACAGACATGGAGACAGTCATACTCAGGGAGAAGGTGCTATGTGAAGATACATCTACAAGTAGCAAAAAAAAAAAAAAACACCAAGGATTGCTGGCAGCCACTAGAAGCCAAGAAAGAGACATGGAACAGTTCCTCTCTGAGAGCCTTCAGAAGAAATCAACATGGCTGATCCTCTGATTTGGACTTCTAGTCTCCAGAGTTCCGAGACAATAAATTTCTGTTCCTTAAAGCCACCCACTTTGTGGTATTTAGTTACTGCAGTCCCAGGAGACTAAAATATTCCACTTGGGACACAGGGTGGAGCGGCCTGAGTCAGAGACTCCTGTTGAGAGCTGGCTGTTAAGTCTGAATACAACCACCTAAAAGGTATTCAGCTTCCTAGCAGCCTGTGCAAAAGGGTAAACAGGTCTAATCATCATAGAGTTCTTGAAAAGCAAACGTTTTAACATGGGGTGTCTATGGAGATTCAGAGAATCTGTGAACTTGGAAGGGAAAAAATTCCATCTCTATTTTCACTAACCTCTAAAGAAAAGAGCCTTTCCCTTGGGTATACACAGAAGCCACAAATCACAATAGTATCTGCCAGGCTTGTGACTTTGTCACCAACAGAAATCAGAGAGGCTCATATCACATGATAGGTACTACAGACACCTTGAAATATGATTGATGCTTATTCCATCATCACTACTTCAAAATTATGGTAGTTTTTAGAGCTGCTCCCAGATATCCTTATTAACTACGTTCATAAAGAAACACGTGCGGTACAAATTGATTTTTAAAAATATTTTGACAACTGCATTTCAATATCACTGTTTGCCTTTGTGATCCTGTGTATTTTATGCACATTTTAAAACGTTATTCTGTTAAACATAGAGTCATCATGCCAAACCAAAATAAAACCAAACCTGTTGCCGTCACGTGGATTTGGGCTCATGGTGACCCTACAGACCCAGCAATTCCCCGCCTACATATATACCCAAAAGGATTAAAAGCAGGAACTCAAACAGACACTTGTACACCAATGTTCATAGCAGTATTATTCATAATAGCCAAAAGTTGGAAACAACTCAAGTGTCCATCAATAGATGAATGGGTAAACAAAATGTGGTTTATTTGTGCAATGGAATATTATTTTGCCATAAAAAGGAATAAAGTACTGATACATGTTATGACATGGATGAACCCTGAAAACATTATGCTGAGCTTCAAAATAAGCCAGACACAAAAAGGACCACTACTGTAGGATTCCACTTATCTGAAATACCTAGAATAAGCAAATGTATAGACAAAAGTTTATTGGCGGTTACCAGGGGCTGGGGGAAGAGGGGAATGGCAGTTATCGTTCAGTGGGCACAGAGTTTCTGTTTGGGGTGATGAAACAGATTTGGAAATAGATAGTGTTGATGGTTGCACAACATGGTAATTGTTGTGTTAGATGCCGTCAAGTCCATGTGACAGAGTAGAACTGCTCCATAGGGTTTCCTAGGCTGTGATCTTTATGGGGGCAGATCATCAGGTCTTTCTTCTATGGAGCTGCTGAGTGGGTTTGAACTGCCAACCTTTCCGTGAGCAGCTGAGCACTTCACCATTGCACCACAATTAATGTCACTGAATTGTATACTTAAAAATTGTTAAAACGCAAAAGGGGGGAAATGCAGAACAGAATTTAAAATTTTCATGGACTCTAGACTTTCTGGAGCCATGGCGAGTGGATGAACGCCCAAAACTACTGCCCTGAGATAATCTTTAAACCTTAAACCAGAAATATCCCCGGCAGTCAATCTTAAAACCAAACAGTTTAGCTTAACTAGTAAAAACGTCTGCCTTGAGTATTATGCTCTTTTAAAAACTATCTATATGGGATCAAATTGACAACAGCAACTCAAAAGACTAGATGGGAACCTTAGGGGGCAGTGAATTAATGCCAATGAGAGAAGAACAACTCAGAAAAGGAGGGTGAGAAATACTTGTACAACTCGAAGATGTAATCAATGTCACTACATTATACACGTAGAAACTTGAATTGGTGTATGTTCTGTTGTGTATATTCTCAACAACAAACTAAATAAAATCTAGGAAAAAAATTGTTAAAATAGCAAACGTTATGTTATATGCAGTTTATGACAATAAAAACAATTTTTTAAATGTTATTCTGAGACAGAATGCAAAAGGGATCCATGGTGCAAAAAAAGAGCTTAGGAGAGGTGGCAGGTCCCCAGGAGGGACGGCCATGAGTGACCACAGTGCCCAGGCATGAAGGTTCGGGGCCGGGCAATGAGCACCTCAATTCCCTCCCACCGCCCACGCCTGCAGCCCTACCTTGCGCTGGTCCTTCCTGTCCCTGGCGCGGCCGGCGTCCTTGCGCGGGCTCAGCGCGCCACCCTTGGCACAGCGCGTGGCCTTGGGCGCGGGGGCAGCTGTGGGCGTGGGGGCTGCCGGGGCCGAGTCGTGCAGGAAGATGCGCTCGCTGCGCCGCCGTGTCCACAGGTCGTCGTCGCTGGCCTCGGGCCCCGCCTCGAAGCCGGCCTCCTTGGGGCCGCGCAGCTTGCGCACCTTGCGCCCCTTCTCTGCTGCCAGCTTGGCCTTGTCGGGGCTGGCGGGGCCGCGGGTGCTAGGCACAGGCCCGGCCAGGCCGCCCCCCGGCTCCCCAAGCCCCTTCTTGGGCCGCAGCAGCCCAGCAGGCGAGCGCTTCCGCACCTTGACCTCGCTCTCCGAGTCCGTGTACTCGAACTCTGTGCCTGGACACAGAGGGCAGGAAGCATTGTGGGCAGGGGTCCTCTGGGGCCCCTTTTCCCACCACCCTGCTCACTGGTCCCCAGCAAAAAGGCCACAGGCTGGGTCCACCCTCCAAGGAACTGCTCTGTGAGTAGGGGCGTTTCTCCCCATTTCCAGAGGGAGAAACTGAGGCCCAGAGAAAGGCAAGCACTCAGGCCTGAGAGTGGCAGGTACCGGCCCCACTCTTAGGCTAAACCTCCCTCTGTGGCCCCGACTCGGCTCCCTAACCCTCACCTCAAGAGGAGCCCTCACCCCAACAGCATCATCTAGGAATGTGAAGGTTAGTGCTCATGCCAGCAAGAGCCTCCCCTGGGTGACCCCATGGAAATCCCAGAAGCCAGGCCAGGTGAGCAGTGAGGGCCTCACACCTGGGAAAGCCCCACAAAACCCACAAGCCCTGCTGGGCCTCCTCTCCCGCTTCCTGGTGCCATTTCTCAGAGCTGGGAGGCCCCTGCCCCCCCCGCCAACATACGGCAAACCCACCCACAAAAGGCAGAGACCCCAGAAACGGTCTGCAGGAGCCAGCTTCCCGCTGCCCAAGAGCAGCCCTGACCCAAAGCCTCAGTTCTGTCTGGGCTCCTACCCAGTTACACTCAGTCCTTTCGGACCCCCAGAATTTCGCTTCTGCAGTTGCCTCTGCCTGGACTCCCGTCTCTCCCCTGACCTTTACTTGGAAAACTGCTGTGTCCTTTGTGACAAGACCTGCCTCAGTGTCCCCTGGCAGTGACGTGTATCCACCCTCTGTCACAACAGACATGCACTGCCCTGTAGAGTTTCTGTCCGTATCTCTGCCTGTCCCATCCTGTCCCCCGCCAAGTTCGCTGGAAGCCCCCGGTATTGCACAGCTCAGAGCTGGCCCAAAGCTGGCACCTAGGGAGAGTATGTGATGGTGGTTGGTGGCACTTCACCCCAGGGACAGAAGCCTCAAAAGGGGCACTCACCCCATGAGGCATGAAGAGGGCCTGCATCCTCCAGCCAGACTCCTGAATGACACATCTCCAGAAGCTCCTTGGCAGTCACCCCAAGAAAGAGCCAGTAACTTGTCCTGGGCCCCACAGCACAAGAGCAGAGAAGCCACTCCCAACCCCCAAGCCTATGGGCTCCTGGGGGGCAGCAGCTTGTCAACAGCTCCTTTGGGAGACCTGGCCCCATGGCGCCAACAGACAAAGCCACCCCAGTGGGGACCTGTCTGGGGCCCCCTGGCAGGAAAGAACCACTTGCAAAGCTTAATGATCCCATTAATTAATCTGCTGTTAACAGACTTCTCGATGCACAGGAAGGCAGCTGGGGGTTTTTGCAGCTGATTAGGGTGAGGGCCATAAAACACAGCATGAGAGCTCTGCTTCAGATATGACGGAATAAGACCCAACATGATGACACCTCCTGTCTGAAGGAAACCACCATAGAACCTAGACCTAGGAAATACCCTGGAGGGCATTATATATGGTAAAGGTGTTGGAGAGAGGGCAGAAGCAGTCAGCCTCTGGTGGGGATCGAACGCTCACTTGGAAGCTATACAGGTAAGAGCTATACGGGTAAGATCCCATTCCGAAGCTTTAACCCTGGGGCTAAGTGCATTCTTCTTGGCACCAATATTCGGGAAGCTGAGGCATTCATAAGGAGCCCTGGTGGCACAGTAGCTAAGCCCTCTACCGCTAACTGAAAGGTTGGTGGTTCGAATCCACCAGCCACTCTGCAGGAGAAAGATGCAGCAGTCTGCTTCCATAAAGATTACAGTCTTGGAAACCCTATAGGGTTTACTCTGTCCTATAGGGTCTCTATGAGTCAGAATCAACTCCACGGCAACGGGTTTGGTTTGGGGCACTCATGGAAAGAAAATGGAGTCTTTATGACCTCAAAAACCAAGAAAGAAAATTCTGGAAACTGAAGGCAGAAAAAAAGGTGAAAGGATCCCCAAACTCTACCTACCCACATTTCTCATAGAACCCTGAACCACTCATGCATAGAACAGGCTCGAAGCTGCCCAGGTAAAGGCAAAAAAGATCTCAACAGAGATCAGAGCTGCTGCCCAAGAAACAGAAATTGGAGGTCAAGACTTGCCAAGGAAAAACCCACTGAAACAAAGGAAATAATGTCATTTGTGAAAAATCAAGAAAATTCAGACTCTCCACAACTTAACTCTCATAATGCCCAGGATGCAATCTAAACTTACTCGACAAACGAAGAACCAAGAAAATGGGTAACATTCTGGAGAGAAAAGAAAATCAACTGAATCTGACCCTGAGAAGAACCAGATGTTGGAACTAATGGACAAAAATTTTGAAGTGGCTATTATAATAATTATCCTCAATGAAGAAAAACAAAATTATCTCAATGCATAAACATTTCACCAGAGAAACGGGAAGTATCAGCAAAGAAATAGAAACAACAGAATAAGAACCAAATGGAAATTCTAGAAGGGAAAGATACAATTTCTGAAATAAAAAATTCACTGAAAGGAGCTAAGAGCTGGGTGGACATGATTAAAGAAAGAGCCCTGGTGGCACAATGGTTAAGTGCTCAGCAGCTAATCGAAAAGTTGGAGGTTTGAACCCACCCAGTGGCTCTACAGGAGAAAGACCTGGAGTTCTGCTCCTATAAAGATTACAGCCAAGAAAACCCTATGGGGCAGTTCTACTCTGTCACATGGGGTCACTATGAGTTGGAATTGACTCGACAGCACCTGACAACAACGACTGATTGGAAGCCAGAAAACCAAACCCGTTGCCATTGAGTTGATTCTGACTCACAGCGACCCTATAGGACCATAGGCTTTCCAAGGAGCAGCTGGTGGATTCAAACTGCCAACCTTTTGGTTAGCAGCTGTAACTCTTCACCACTGTGGCACCAGGGCTCCACCGATTGGAATTTGCAGTCAAGAAATCAAATAATGTATTACATTAAGCAAATCTGCTGCAAAAGACCTCTGTAAGTTTTAAAAAGCAAAGTGTCACTTCGATGACTAAGGTGAGCCTGACCCAAGCCATGGTATTTTCAGTCACCTCGTATGAATGCAAAAGTTGGACAGTGAAAAAGGAAGATAGAAGAATTGATGCATTCAGACTGTGGTGTTGGCAAAGAATGTCTGCTCTCTCTACTTCTACTGAATATTGTACTGGAGGTTCTCTACCCAGGGCAATCAGGACAGAAAGACATAAAAACATTCAGATTGGGAAGGAAGAAGTAAAACTATCTCTATTTGCAGATTGCATAATCTTGTATGTTAAAAAAAAAAAGTCCTTAAAAATCCACTAAAAAACTATTAGAATGAACATGAGTTCAGTATGGTTACAAGATACAAGATCAATATACAAAATATATGCTATTTAGACAAGCATCTGTTATGGGTTGAATTGTGTCCCCAAAAAATATGTTTTAAATCCTAACCTCTATGCCTGTGGTTATAATCCCATTTGGGAATGAGTTGTCTGTGTTATGTTAATGAGGCAGGATTAATGTAAGGTATATAACCCTTATGTTACTACATTTTTTATTCTTAAAAAAATTTTTTTGATGGCACGTGTTTTCAGTATTGGAATGCATGCTTACTAATTGAGTGTGTTTAAATTTTTGATTGGTAATATGGATTTTGAGAAATATGATCTGGTAATACAAGCCACCAACGAGGCAAGTGGCACTCTGGCACCGCTGATCTATGGTATGACTATATACCAATGACAGATAGATAAGTGATTTACTGCAGGTGCCTTTCCATTAGGTTACATAGAGAACCTCTGGTTTTCCAAATATGACACAGAAAAAACAAAACAAACCCATCAGGGCTCCCTAACTATCACACAGAAAAGCCATAATTATGCTTGCAAGCCCTATCTCACACAAGTAAAGGAAATAAAGGGGAAAAAATGCAAAAATTTTTAAAACTAACACATCCAGGAAGCATCACCTAATAGAATGCTCAACCTACACAACGATGAAGCTCCAACTCTGGTCTGCTGAGCTTCACACATTTCAAAAGGGACCCACCTTGACTCTAAGTGCATTAAAACCAGAATAACGCCTTACCTCTGAGGTCCAGGGGCATAAAAATTGACTGGCATACCACTTATGCCAATGGTAAAAAAAACTGAACAAGCAAGCAGAGGAGAGATGGGGTAAGATAGATGCCAAGACACCTGGAGATCTCCAAGGAACCAGGAGGCAGAAGCTGACGAGACAAGGACCTGCCTCCAGAGCCCACAGAGAGAGAGAGACTTCCCCTAGAGCCAGTGCTCTGAATTCGGACTTCTAGCTTCCTAAACTGTGTGAAAATAAATTTCTGTTTGTTAAAGCCATCCACTTGTGGTACTCCTGTTATAGTAGCACTAGATAACTAAGACAGAATTAAAGAGAATAAAATATTTAAGAATAAATTTAATAAAAGAAGTACAAAACTTCTACATTGAAAACTACAAAACATTGTTAAAAGAAATCAAAGAAGATCCAAATAAACAGAAAGCCATCCTATATTTATGGATCAAAAGCCTTACTATTGTTAACTTGCCTATACTCCTCAAACTGACCTACAGATTCAATGCAATTTCTATCAAAATCTCAGCTCCCTTTTTTGCAGAAATTGACAAGCTGATCCTAAAATTCATGTGGAAATTCAAAGGACCCAGAATAGCCAAAAAATCTTGAAAAAGAGCAAAGTTGGAGGACTTATCTTCCCAATTTCAAAGCTTACTACAGATCTACAGTAAGCAAGACAGTGTGGTACTGAAATAAGGATAGAACAGTGGAACAAAACTGAGAGTCCAGAAATAAGCCCTTGCATTTATGGTCAATTGATTTCCTACAAAGGTGCCAAGATCATTCAGTGGAGGGAAGAATGGGCTCTTCAACAAATGGTACTGAGACAACTGGATATCCACGTGCAAAAGAATAAAGTTAGACCTCTACCTCACACCATACATAAAAATGAACTAAAACGATCATAAAACTAAATGTTAAGGGCTAAAATTATAAAACTCTTAGAAGAAAACAGGAGTAGATCTTTGTGATCTTGGATTAGGCAATACATTCTTAGATATGTCACCAGAAGCACAAACGGCAAAAGAAAAATAGATAAATTAGACAAAATTAAAAACTTTCGTGCTTCAAATAACACCATCAAAAAAGTGAAAAGACAACCCACGGAATGGGAGAAAATATTTGCAAATTATATCTCTGATAAGAGATTTGTAGCCAGAACACATAAAGAACTCTCATTCAACAATAAAAAGACAAAAATAAAAAATGGGCAAAAGATTTGAATAGGCATTTCTCCCAAAAAAGATATACAGCTGACCAATAGCAATGAAAAGATGCTCTACATCATTCATCATTTGCGAAATGCAAATCAAAACCACAATGAGATAACATTCCACACACAATAGGGTAACCATAACAAAAAATATAAACAATACCGAGTACTGGAGAAGATATGGGGAAATTAGAACCCTCATACATCACTCATGAAATTGTAAAATGGTGCAGTCACTTTGGAAAGCAGTTGGGTGGTTCTTCCAAATGTTAAACACAGAATCACTATATGATCTAGCATTCTACCACAGCTGGGTGGTTCCTCCCAATATCAAACATAGAATCACTATGTGACCCAACATTCCACCACAGTTGGGTGGTTCCTCCAAATGTTAACCACAGAATCACTATATGACCCAGCAATTCCACTCCTAGGTATGTACCCAAGAGAATTACAAACATGTTTCTATACAAAGACCTGTACACAAATATTCATAGGAGCATGATCTATAATAGCCAAAAAGTGGAAACAACCCAAATGTCCATCAACTGATGAAGGGATAAACACAATGTGGTCCATCCATACAAGGAATATTATTCAGCCATAAAAAGGAATGAAGTTCTGACACGTGTTACAATGTGGATGAACCTTGAAACCATGATGCTAAGTCTAAGAAGCCAGACTGCAAAGACCACAAATTGTGTGGTTCTATTTATGTGAAATGGCCAGAACAGGCAAATCCATAGAGACAGAAGGTAGATTAGTGGTTACCAGGAGCCAGAAGAATGGAGAGTGACTGCTACTGGGTATAGCATTTGTTTTTTGGATGATGAAAATGTTCTGAAATTAGATAGTCGTGATGGTTGTACAACTCTGTGAATATATAAAAGCCACTAAATCTTTCAAATTGTTAATTTAATGGTATGTGAATTATATCTAAAAAACTAAAAGGGTAAAATCAAACCAAACTATATCAATAATTAAATATTAATAGATTAAACATTTATATTAAAAAGAGGCATGAAAGAAAAAGACCCAACTATTTTCTGTCTAAAAAGACTCACTTTAAATAAAAGAGACAGGTAAAATGAGAGTAAATGAATGTAAAGAAGATACACCATGCAAATAGTAAGCATAAGAAAGCTGGAATGGCTATATTAATACCAGATAAAATGAGTCCCAAAACAAAATGCATTACCAAAGATAAGAAGGAACATGTCATAATAACAAGAGTCAATTCAAGAGGAAACATAATCGTAAGTGTGTATGTACCTGATAATAGAGCTTCAAATACACAGGCAAAAACTGATTTAAATTAAATTAAAAGGAGAAATAGAGAATTCTGCAATCAGAGTTCGAGATTTAAACACCCATCTCTAAGCAACTAGTGAAAAAGCTAGACAAAAAAATCCCCAAAGGCATACAAGATCTGAACAACAGTATCAGTTACAATGACCTGCCTGGTATTTATAGAATACTATACCCAACAAAGAAGCCCTGTTGCTGCAGCAGTCAAGCATTTGGTTGTTAACCGAAAGGTCGGCAGTTCAAACCTACCAGCTACTCCGTGGGAGAAAGATGTGGCAGTCTGCTTCCGTAGAAGATTACAGCCTTAGAAACCCTATGGGGCAGTTCTACTCTGTCCTACAGGGTTGCTATGAGTCAGAATCGACTCGATGGCAATGGGTTTTTGGTACATTTAACAACGTCAGAATATTATTTTCAAGTGTACACAGTACGTTTAAGAAACAGCCTACATCTCCAATGTTGTAAAATTTTAAAAGATTGAAACTATACGAAGTATGTTCCCTCACCAAGATGGAATTAAATTAGAAATCAACAATACTAAAATTACCAGGCAATCCCTCAAATATTTGGAAACTAAATAAAAGTGCAGCCACCACCTATCAGTGGAAGCTTTCATGTTGCTGTGATGCTGAATAGGCTTCAGCAGAGCTTCCAGACTAAGACAGACCAGGAAGAAAGGCCTGGTGATCTACTTCTGGAAATCAGCCAACGAAAACTCTATGGATCATAATTCGATCCAGTTGTGTATGGGGTTGCTAAGAGTCAGAGGTTTGCTCAATGGCAGCTAACAGCAAAACCACAAATAATTATTGGGTCAAAGAAGAAATCACAGAAGAAATTAGAAAGTATTCCGAATTCAGTAATAATGAAATTACAACACATCCAAAAACATATCAAAAAATCTGTTTAGAAAGAAGTTTATAGTTTTAAATGTCTCTATTAGAAAAAAGGAAGGTCTCAAATCAATGATCTAAGTTTCTACCTTAAGAAATGGTCACAAGTGGTTGCAAATTAAACCCAAGGCAAACAGAAGGAAATGATAATAAGAGTAGAAATCAATTAAATTGAAAACAAAACCAAAAAATATAAAACAAAATCAACAACTTCTAGCCGGGATGATCAAGAAGTAAAGAGAGAAGAAACAATTTTCTGCCTCAGCCATGAGAGAAGAAACATCACTACAGACCCTTCAGACATCAAAAGTTATCATAAGGGAATAATGAGAACCACCATATGCCAACACATTTGACAATCGGGATGAAATGGATGCTTGGGGCTGTAGGAAGAGGAAGTGCAAAAGCCTGAAGGTAAGAGGACGTCTGGCAGATTTAGGCGCTGCAGTGGGATCTGTCTGTGGACAGGATGAAGTGATCCAAGCAGCCACCATCTGAACTGGAGGGTCGGTCAGGTGGTACCTGGACACAGAGGGCAAAGCGGAGCCAGTGAGAGGTTCTGGACAGAGAAGTGGCCTGGTCAAGTTTGGGCCTTGAGGAAAAGCCCTCCAGCTGAGGGGGCAAGCCTGCAGGGAAGCTAGTGCCATAGTCCAGGAAAGCCAGGCTCGAAGCCTAGATAACACAGGAAATAAGGGCAGGACATGGGGATGAGAGGGGGCAGTGGTGGTTCACTGGTAGAATTCTCGTTTTCCATGCAGGACACTCAGGTTTGATTCCCAGTCAATGCACCTCATGCACAGCCACCACCCATCTGTCAGTGGAGGCTTGTGTGTTGCTCTGATGCTGAACAGGTTTCAGCAGGGCTTCCAGACTACGATGGAGTAGGAAGAAAGTGCTGATGATCTAATTCCAAAAGTCAGCCAATGAAAACCCTATGGACCTCAACGGTCTGATCCGAAACTGATCACAGGGATGGCACAGGACTGGGCAGCATTTCGTTCCGTTGTACATGGGGTCACCATGAGCTTGGGGCCCACTCCATGGCAGCTCATGACAACAACATGGGGGTGAGAGGGAGGAGGAAGAAAGCCGGGCCCGGGCCTGAAGCCTGGTGTGGGTACATGAAGCCAAGTGCGACTGGGGAGGCCTGGGGGGACAGGCGGTACCACAGTGCCCTATTTCCCTTGTCCCAGCCCCTGCCAGGAGGGCCTCAGGCCTATCCTGTGGCACAGAAAAGGGCACAAGGCAGGCAGCAGGGCGGCTGGGGTGGCCCGTCCCAGGACCTTGCCCCGTGGAGGCCAGGTGAGTTCCCGGCAGGAGCACCTGGGGGACCTTCGGTTTCAAACACCAACCCCAACTTCAGGCTGGACAGGGCCACGCGGGGACACAAGGCCCGGGGAGAGTGGGGTGGGGCCAGGAGAGGGTCCTGAGGTCCATTTGTTCCAAGACAAGGCAATGACACAGAATGTAATGATAGATGCAGAGACAGAAAGGAGGGAGTTGGAGGGGAGGCAGACAGGCCCCGCTGTCAGCCTCCATCTGAGCACTGGGCTGACCAGACAGAGTGGCTGGGAAGACCAAATGCAGCGAAAAGAGCACCATCAGGTTAAGGAAGTTCCTCTCTATGGGTTTTCGTTTCTTTAAACTATGAATGGGTATCGAAAGTAGTCGATGAATTTTTCTTTTTGCATCTATTGAGATGATCACATAGTCTTATGTGTTAAATGGTGCTTCTCCAAAAGGTGTGGTCAAGTCTTAACCCCTGTACCTGTGAACGTGGACCCCACCTCTGACCTCCTTCAGGCCCCAACCCCAGACCCCACGAGGCCTGCCCAGCTTGGCCCAGCCCATCTCGCCAAGTCACCGCCCCTAATGCCCCCCTCTGGAGCTTCCTTCCTTCAAGCCTCTGTGCAGCCGTGCCCTCTGCCTGACCACAATTTTTTCTCCACAAGCTAGGCTACCTCCTACTTCTTGCTTATATTTCAGTCTAGGTGTCTCCAACCTGCAGGGGCCTCCCAGACCCCCAGGCTGGGACAAGGTCCTTCCTTGGTCTCCTCCAGCCCCCCAAGGGCACATTCCTGAGGCCTCTCTGCCCCCTAGAACTGCCTGAAGAGGGCAGGTCAGGCCATGTTGGTGGAGCTCATGAATACCCAGGGAAGTCCCTCTTTGCAGAGCCAGGGGGGACCCCTTGTTCCTCAGCAACAGCAGGCCAGGTGGGGATCACGCTCAGGAGGGGCAGGCCCACAAGGCATAGCTCCACAGGCTGGCTCCCCAGCTCTGCTCCTCCCTCCTCCAAGCCTCAGTGCCCCATCTGCAGAATGGGCCCGAGGCCCCTGCCTCCCTGCCCTCCTCTGCCCAAGGCTCACCCATCAGGCTCTGCCGCTCCTCCTTCTTCCGAGCCTTCTGCTTGGCCTCCAGCTGCACCACCGACAGGGCCGGCCCCACGGTGGGGCTGGGCAGGGCGCTGGCTGCGAAGCGTGCCAGCAGGCCCAGCCCGCTCTCCTCCAGGCCTGGCGACAGGGCCCGCTCCCGGGCCCCCAGCCTATAGCCGCCACTGGCCTCGTCCTCCTCCTCCTCCAGCCCCTCGTCCTCCTCCTCCTCGGAGCTCTCATCTGGCATGCAGAAAACAGGGGCCAAGTCAGAGCCGTGGTCTCAGTGCACATCGCCACCCACTGCCACCCAGGCCTGGAGCCACCACTCAGCATGGCACCAGTGCAGGGTTCCACGGCTCCTGGCTCCTCCCCACGGGGCAGCTGGGGAGTAGTCAGAGCTGGCCAGCATTTCCCACCCGTGTCCCCTCTGCCCCATCACATGGAGCCCAAGACAAGGGAGCCCTGAGCGGCCCAGAGATGGCAGGGGCTGTGGGTATCAGAGTGGGCTTCTGTAAGGGGGGCACCAACATGCACGTCAGCTAGGGCAGGGGACAGACACATGGACAAGGACTGGAGACGGCTCTCTCCACAGTCTCACCTGCACACACACACCCCAACACACGACATGAAGGCTGGGAAGGAGGCAGTAGAGAAGGAAAGAGGAGGCTGAGGGAGAGGAGAACGAGGGGTAGAAAGTGTCCTCGGAGCGCAGCTCGGGGTTCTGGGTGCGGGCACCCTTGAAGGAGCTGGAGACTGGTGGCAGGAGAAGGTGGAGTTTGGTCTTTTCCGGGGGTGGGTGGAAAACCCCTATGGTTCAAGTCCGAAGTTGACTCTGAGCTACACCCCCATGCAGGGGAACCCTAGGCAAGCCACTGGCCCTCTCTGAGCCCCTATTTCTCATCTGTGGCATGGAGGTACCCATCCCAACCTCCCTACCATGTAAAGGGAAGGCTCAAATAGGATCCCATGTACATAAGAGAAATGGCTTTGCAGGATCCAAGAGGATCATAGAAACAGGACCACTTCCTGGACCTGCCAAAAAGGAACAGTACTGTCCCCACTGCCAGGGGAATTGTGAGCTGAATATTACTTGTGACTCAAAAGAGTCCACTGAGGACTCAAACCCAGGGCTTGCTTACCCGTAAAAAAACAAAACAGTTGAGTCAATTCCAATTCATGGCAACCCCATGTGTTACGGAGTAGAACTGTGCTCCATGAGGTCTTCTTGGCTGTAATCTTTACAGAAGCAGATCACCAGACCTTTCTTTCATGGCGCCACTGGATGGCTCAAACCACCAACCTTTAAGTTAGTAGTCAAGCGCAAACTGTGCCACCTAGGGACCTTGCTTACCCATAAAAAAAAAAAAAACAGAAACCAAACCCACTGCCATCAAGTCGATTCCGACTCAGCGACCCTACAGAACAGAGTAGAACTGCCCCATGGAGTTTCCAAGGAGCACCTGGTGGATTTGAACTGCTGACCTTTTGGTTAGCAGCCACAAGAGTCTCCACATCTAATGATAAAAGAAGAACCTCTTCCTTGGGAGAAAACAAAAACAAAAACAAAAACAGAAGGCCCACCTCCAGCAGGAGGCTTCAGAGCAGTGGGTGGATGCAGCCACCCTGCTCACATGCTGACTCCCCAGCTGTGTCTCAGTTTGGTAACTGGTTGACAAAGCAGGCTTCTCCTTGGCCATCGGGCTTGCCTCCCTGAGCCAGCTGGGGCTAACAGGACACAGGCTGTAGCTCAGTGGGACCTGCAGAGGAGAGCAAGGGAGGACAGTGCTCCCCACAAATAAGCCAATCTGCCACTAAAAAGAGATTGTCTTAAGGCGGAAACTTGCTTCTGACCTGAAGCAAGCAGACAGCCCCATGAATCCAACAAGAGCAGGTAGGCAGGAGGCATCCGAGGGGCTAAGTCTGCCTGTTACATGCCACGGCCAGGGTCCCGCCAGGAAAAGCTGAGGGGCAGATGCCACACTCGGGTCTGTGTACTCGCCTCAGGGTGCCCACCTGCCCCAGGGACCTGGGTGGAGACGGTGACTCATAGGCTAGAGGCCAGGGGCAGGCCTGGATGGCGACCGTCCTGCCAGAAAAGGCAGGAGAGAGAGTCTGAACTATCTCCTCTCTGCACTGTCTCCGGGGCAGGGAGCCGACTGGCTCTGGGGAACAGAGGGGCAAAGAGAAGACGGCCAAATCCACGTTCTCCTGCCACCCTCAGGAGTGCCAATTAGGGCAGGGGTCCTTTGTGTGTGCCCAGTTACAGAGAAAGCCCAGGTCCCTGCTGTGATGAGCTGAAGGATTACATCAAGGGGTGGAGAGAGGAAGAGGCAGAAAGGGGGGTCTGTTAGGAGGAGCGTGAGGCAGGGAGGGGCGCGGTCTCCAGAGCAATGGATGGCACAGGATGGAGAGGCCAGCGGGCAGGCGGCAGGGGGGCAGGCAGACAGTGCACACGTGCGATCCATTCACATGGTGACGTCACATGGTTCGTCTCCGCCCAGAGGGCCACAGCGGCAAAGCAGGCTAAGTGTGGGCAGACTTCCCACAGCACCTGGGTCCCCCCATCGGTCCTGCCTGGACCTGGCCAATTCGAGAAGTGGGGCTGGCAGGGGACTGGCTGGGGTGGAGGCATGGGGCTGGACTTGTGGCCAGAAGGTTTCCCTTCCAAAGACCCCCTTCCCTGTCTGCTCAAGTGTGGAGACTCCAGAACTCCAGGAATTGTGGGAGAGGGGAGGGACTGGGCTGGCTCCGGCCCTGGAACATTCTGCCCAGAAATTTCAAATGTGGGCAGGGTTATGAAACTTGGACATCAGATCCCAGAAAGCCAGGAGCAGCCCAATCCCAGCTCCTTGGAACTGAAGAAGAGCGTTTGGGAGGCAAAAGCCAAAAAGGGGTGTGATTTCCGCAAAGCGGAGGCACCATTTTTGAAGTGCAACAAGCTTCCCAAGGTGGCAGGTTTGCTAGGGCCAGTGTGGTGCATAAGCCACGGAGGTTCAGAGCCTGCAACATCTCATCTCCTGGTGGGGGGCTGGGAACCACAAAAACCCTTCTGGAGTTATCCACCCACCAGGCAAAAGAGCTAGCCAAGGGTGGGGAAAAATACCCCAACAAAGAAACCCAAGGAAATGCAGAAAAAGTTTTTCCTTTTTTTTTTAAATCTTGGATCTGTATGTGTGGGGTTGGCTGTTAGAACTTGGTTTGGTTTCCCCAAACCCAAGAAATGGCCAAGGAGACCTCCTGCTGTCATACCCAGTGGGGGCACACCCCAAGGAGGGGAGGTATAGAGGGGACAGAAAGAAAAGGGTTTTGCCTACCTACGGAGCAACGAGCCGGGCTGGGGCTCAAGCTTGGGGACCTGCTGCGCTGTCTGCCTACTCCCAGCCTCCACTTTGCGTCCAGAGTGCAGCGTGAGAGCAAATGCAAGAGACCGAAACAGACATTCAAAGCATCATGGGTAGGGATCAAGGGTGAAGGGATGGTCAAGCTGCTGGGGGAGAAGCAGACACACTAGAAAAGCCAAGCCAATTAAGGGTTTTAGTACTGGGGGTCAGTAAGGCCCTATTACCCAAATATCCCTTTTCAAGACCTGACCAGAGGTCTGTTTGCAAGGGGGCAACCAAGTCAGCGTCTCAAGCCAGGGGGCCTCATCCCCCTCCCCTCACTCCCTCTGCTCTAGGATCTGGGTTCTCACGGGGTGGACACAGGTCTTGTCCCCTGGTGCTGCCGTGTCCACCTCTGGGTTAGGACCCCCAGCTCCTTCTACCCACTTCTTCCTAAGAACTTGGGAGGTCATCTGCTTCAATGTGGGAGCTGAGCTCGGGCAGGAGGGTGCAAAAACTGTGGAGCCAAACCCTGGCTTTAGGAGAGAAGGGAAAAAAGGGTGCTTGGGGGAGGAGCCATGGGCACCCAGCCAAGTTTGGGGAGGGAGGTTCGGCAGCAGAGAGAGGGGGATGGGAAACCAACCAGACTCTCCCCAGAGGCCCCAGGCTGGGAGAGGCCTCAGAAACTAGGCTGGCTGGAGACATGGTGGTCTCTCTTCTTGCCCTGGCAGCGGCCCAGGAAACCGTGAGCCTGTGCTGTGCCATTTCCTGGTCACCCAAATGGGTCTCTGCCAGTTTGGAGGGGAGGTGTGGAAAGGAAGAAGGTAGACCAGGAATATGAGAGCAAGGCTGGAGAACAGGGCCGTGCAGCCCCAGGGACCTCTTCTACATCTGGCTCAAGCAAGTTCGTGTCCAGATATGCCAGGACATGCCCCGGACATGCCCCGGAGCCTGGCTCAAGCAGCACCAAGGGTCAAGAATTTGACATCCAGGTGCTGCTCCCCAGGCTTGGGGATTCCTCTGGCCCTAACTGGACTCTGCCCTGAAGCAAACCCTACAACTGGGGCTAGGACACGTTTCCCAGGTTTCACTTGCTCCTGCTTCTTGGGACATTTTTGATTGCAAGAGCTGAAGGGTATCAGACATGTCTAACCCCAGAAGTCCAATTCTGAGATTAAAAGAAGTCAGAGCCAGAAGGTTCTCAGGGCTTACCGAGTCTGACCCTTTCTTTTTATAAGGGATGTGAAAGAGGCCCCCTGGCTGAGGCAGGGGCTGAGGAGAGGCCAAACCAGGCCGCTGGACTCCCAGACCAGTGCTCTTTCTGAAGCCCCACGCTGTGTCCCTCAGCATGGCCATGAAGCCAACGCTTTCTCATTTAAAAAAATACAAAGGACATCCAACTGTCTTGCCCCTGCACTGCCCACATGCCCCTCAAAACAGAAATCCATGTTGGGACACAAGTGTTGGCAAATAGTTCTCAACCAGTGCTGGGTCGAATTAGAGCTGAAGAAAATAAAAGACAAACAAGCAGCTCAAAAAAATAAAAAGATGATGCTGGCGGTGAAAGCAGTTGACTTTAAACCTGCAAAATGGAATGAATGCCAATAGCTACTAGGGATATTTGAATAATAGAGAAAAGCGGTAGACTGCATTAATTCCATCGCTACTCCTTTGGGGTGGTGAGGAGGAGGGGGAGGGAAGAGGAACAAAATGAAAGGAAGCATCAACCTAATTGTCTAGTAAGGACACAGCAAGAGAGACAAGGTACACGGGTTTAGTTAAAAATGAACTCGATATGTTTAATAAAGCTTAGTATTACCAAAATCGCGGTACAGACATCAAGTCACACGCCCACACGACAGAATTCCATTTACAAAATGTTCCTCAGGAAGCCTCCACCGGGCCGCCCATGCCAAAAGAGAACCCAACCCAAGCCTGTGGTCTAGGTGGGCAGAAAAAGTGAGAAGGAACTCAGGGTGAGGGAAGGGAAGGGCAGAGAGGAGGGAGAGTGGAGAAAGGTGAAGACTAAAAACCAGTCCATATAAAAGCTCAAAAAAAGCTAGCTGATGGTATTATCACAATGATACGAGTAAAAATAAAAACAAAAATAAAAAATAATTAGGCAAATAAGGCAGGCTACGCTGCCAAGAACCAAGATGGCTGCCCTTCCTGTGGCCATCCAAGATGGATGACCTCAGCATCTGCCATCTCTCTCCTGTGGGCATGCTCTCTCGATCTCTCTTTCTTTCTCTCTCTCGCTCTCACTCACTCTCTCGCTATAAAATATGGAAGGTATTTTGTGTTTTGAGCTAGTAACCTTGGTCAAACGAGTCCTCCGAAGAGTCGCTGAAGGAGGAACGAGTGTCGGCCTCTCGGAGCAGCAAACAAAATGGCTGCTTCCTGTTGGCGGCCGGCTTGGGTTTCAGAGTCCGGGTGGCCACTAGGCCCCGCTTGGCCAGCTTGGGGCCTCCGGTGGGCTTGCTGTTCTTGGCCACCATGCCACACAGAAGGGAAGATGTCAATTTGGAGCTGGAGGGGCCTTGCCCAGACCACTCATCCTTCAGGAATTCCTCATCTTCCTCGGAGTCGGTATCTGCAGTCAAAGTAGTTTTTAATAGAGATAAGTCACAGACGCTGGGGGAAGGGTTGGTGTCTTTACTTTATTGCTTTTAGTGGTTTGGGGAACATACTGGTGCAAGCCAGAGTAGAGAGGTCCAGATAACTGCTGGCCATGGAAAAAAGCTTGGTTACGCCACAGGCTCTCCTCCCTGGCCTGGGCCTCTTGCCTTTCACCTGGGGAGGCCTCCAAGCTGCAGGCCTCACGTAGCTGGTCTTTCGTGTGCTTGGAGTCGGGCCCATTCTAGGCTGGACGCTGCCAGCATCACCCACCATCAGTCACTTCAGCGAACACCAGAGGTGAGGCAGCCTTCCCAGGCACAGGGGGGTCATGGTGGTCACTGCCGGTTACCTCCTATCCCCAGGACTGCACCTAGTCCAGGGGCTCCTTTTGGGGAAGGACATGACCCAAGGGGAAAAGAGCTCAACCAAAGCTCTTCTCCCCAAAATACAGGCACCCAGAGGCAAGTTGGAGCTGCCTCATGTGGACTCCAATTACGTACATCTCTTCTTCCCAACTCCCCAATCAATGACATTAGATTGAAACCAGCCATGGAGAGAGTATTTGCACCAAGGTAATTGGCAAACAATTACAAGTCGGGGGTGGGGGGTTTCTTTTGGAGGGCTGGCTGACCAGCTCACCACTGCTGCCTTCCCCTCTGCTGAGTCTTCAGCCTGTGTGGTTGCAGCCAAAGGTTTTCAAACTTTCCTGGCAGAAGGCCAACCAACTTTGGCGAGAGGAACTGCCACAGGGGAATAGTGCTGGTCCCTTCCAACCCTGCCCCAAACACACTCACAGCCTTTGTATCTGTTTTACATATTGGGCTGCCAAACAAGATTGCGTTGGAAAAAGGGCTCCACAGCCAAAGACTGTAATCTCTTGATCTGGCACAATCCATACAGAACGTGAGGAATGTTAACAAATGCAGCTACAGCGGTGGATTTTCCAAGGCAAGAAAAACTGCACAGGGGGGTTGGGAGGTAGGTCTCTGGCTGCTTCCACAAACATCTACACTTTCCACTCCAACCAAGACCAGTCACAAGGATGGCCTGGCAACTCAGGGGCAGGAAAAGTAACACCAAGCTGCCATCCTCTGCCCACCCCTAACCATAGTTCTCATGTTCTCCTCCAACACCTGCCCTTCATGAGGTCACATCCCAGGCTAAAGACTCCTGTGGATGACTGTCTTCCCACAAGAACCCACCAGTCATGCAACCTGCCCCCTCCAACCCAAACTGAAAGAATAAAAAGGTGCCACTGTCTCATCCCCGTCTGTCAGTACAGCAGCTCTCTGCTGGAAAGCACAGCCCCCAACCTCTTTCAAACCTTGTACTCTCATTAGCCTAGAAGTACAAAAAAGCAAATTAAAACATTGTTTTTGATTAAAACAAAAACAAAGATAGGAGCTCTATCCACAGCCAGTGGCATACTATAGCCATCCTCTAGTTAGAGATAGTCCTTCTGACTTCCTTGTTGCAGTTTGAACCCATTTCTCTTGCCTAGAGAGTCCGTGGGTGGCGCAAATTGTTAAGCACTCGACTACTAGCCAAAAGGTTGGCTGTTTGAATCCACTCAGAGGTGCCTCGGGAAAAAGGCCTGGTGATCTGCTTCCAAAACGTCGCAGCTTTGAAAACCCTATGGAGTACGGATCTACTTTGACACGCACGGGGTCACCATTAGTTGGAATTGACTCAACAGCAACTGGCTCTCTTGCCTAGACAGTGGTGTTTTAGATGAAAGCAAAACCAGGTTACATTGACAACTGTGAACATTCCTTCACATGCAAACACACACACATACAAACACCTGGCTACAGGAGACTCACCAGCTCACAGCACTACAAAGACCTCAGGGACAGAGCTAATCTCGACCTCTAGCTCCACACCATGCACTCCCACCTGTAAATGGGAATAGTGAGGACTCCTCCAGCAACCTGCCAGGCCACACTCATAGATCATGCTTCCCTGGAAGATCAAAGGAGCAGTAATCTCCTCCCCACCCTCGTTCTGCACCATCTGATAACATCTAAGATAGAGCAAAGGAAACCCTTCTCCTCTCCTTCACAGCTACAAGTCTCTGCAACTGCCCCTTTCTACTTGTGCCCACACCGTGCCCAGAAATCTGGGCAGTGCTATTCTGACCACACCCACATCAATCAGCGGGGCACAGGAGCTATGTCAGCCTTGCCTGTCCACAGCACTCATCCTCACCACAGAAGGCAGAAAAGAGAGGCTCACCTCATGCCCATCTAAGCGTCAGACAAGAGCACAAACATAATCACGAATGAACAAGAGCATGAACATGAGAAAATAACCACAGCTTAATCCTAGGTCAGGTGCCACACTGAGCTTTACACGCGTGGGCTCACTTAAGGCTAACATCAGCCCTGCTAGGCAGATAAGGATATCTGGACTCCAGATCAATAAAAGTTTTAATTTCTTTCCTTAAGAAAACAATTTTATTGTAACATTAATTTGCACTTTGATATTCAAACTCTGCCCAATGAGCCAGCCAGAGCCAGTCAAAAGCTAGAGGTACACAGCAGCAGGCAGGTGCCAAGGAAAAAGCCCTGCACCCCAGCTAGAATGAACAAGGCTGACCCGTTCAGAATCCAAGAAAGCCCTCCTGGCATTCCTGTAACTGCAACATACTTGGTACCTATCTGTACCTAAGGTGTTCCATCAACAAATACTTACTGAGCACCTACTACACCCTCCAAACCACAAAAGGCCATGGAGGGAGGCCACTGGTTGAGCCAAGGCTGTCTTCCTCAGGAAAACCACAAGGGCACAGTCTGAGTTCTCAGTGAAGGAGCCCCAATATGGTAATCTCGAATTACATATAGCTATTAAAATGAAAATTCAAAAGAATTAAATAAATTCAGCTCTTTGGGTCCATGAGCCAAATTTCAAGTACACAATAACTATATGTAGCTAATGGCTATCATACTGGACAACACAAATATAGAGTGTTTCCAGAAGGTTCTATCGGACAGTAGAATCAGGCCAACCTAGGTATACCCAGCTCCAACTCTCCCTACCCAAAGGGCACACATTTTACTTAGGCCCTCCCCCAGCCTCAAGGTCAATAAATACTGTTTTTACTAACACACATGATGCAAGGGCTATAGCATTTAATGTCGCTACACGTTTGTCTGGCCCCAAAGGACAGAGCGTTTCCTAAGGACAGGCAGGGCCCGGCCATCTCTATCACCCTCACGCACTCCGCAAACCCTGCGACTCTCAAGTCGTCCAAACTGATAACGTCCGGCAAACAAGCGGAGAGCAAGGGTTGGCAGGCGGCTTCCACTCCCAACCGCCAATCATGGGCAGCCAAGCCCATTACCCACCAATCACAGGCGTTTCCCTATCACGGGCACTTCCGCTTCCGGCGCCCCCCCCCCCCGCCCGCCTGAAACCAGTGCAGAGAGACAGAAACAAAGAAGGTTTCGACTGACCCAAAGAAAGACAAAGAGAAGGAGAAAGAAAAAACAGAAGAAACGGCCGGAGGCGGCGCAGCGCCCTTCCGCTACTTACTGTAGGAGTAGCTGCTCACTTCCGAGGCGAATGGGGAATGGGCCGACTTGGATGGGCCTCTGGCCTTGAACCCCACCTCCATCTTCCTGGTTTTGGCAGCCCTTTTGTGTTTACCTTCTCTGGAGGCTTTCAGAGACAGGCTGAGGCCTTTGGCCAGGGCTTTTCTGTCCTTGCTGAGCAGGCTGTCATAAGGAGTCAAGTACCTGCTACAGCCCCCGCTAGTTTTCGATTTCCCCCCAGCATTGTCCGAAAACTTGAAGGACGAGGACTTCAACTTGTCCTGCTTGGTGAGGGAGAGGGCCTTGTCTAGCTTGCTTGCCAGTTGCTCCTGGTCGCTGGCCATCTTCTTCTTCTTAATTTTCAGCTGGAGAGGAAGTTGGGTCATAGGTTAAGACGTGGCAAAATGGCAGAGGGGTTTCAGGGCGCTCTGTGACTTTTGTAAAGGTGCTTAGCTTCTCTTAGCCTCAAGTTTTAAACTGCAAAATAGGGAGCGTTATGTATGGGCAGCACTGGGCTGTGCTGAAGATGGATGGAGATAAGGCACATAGAGCTCTTACCACAATGCCTGGAACAAGCTAACCCCTTATTAAGTAGCTGCTACTGTGGTTACAATTATCATTCGCACTGACACTTCCACTCTGGCTTTCTGGTGCCTCCTAGGGAACTGCTTAGGCAAGCCAAGCTCACCATGAGCTGGAGAAGGCAGCTGGATTAAAGGAGGAGGAAGGGAACCAAGATGGAAAAACCAGATTGTAGCAGGGTGGATCTGCTAATCTCAACCACCTAAGCCAGCTGAAGAAGATGGCTGCACGGTCTAAATCAGCACATCCAACTAAATGTGCAGAAGCTGCCAAGAAAGTACCGTGCATGTGCCGTGGCTGCATGAAGCAGAAAGAATGATTAGAGATTTCTCAGATTAAATTCCTGCTTGCAGCTCTGCAGCAAGGGTAGCCATTTGTTGAAGTGAAATGTGCCATTTCAAAGCCATTAATGCTTCTCATTTGAACATTTAATCTCCATTTTCTTTAATCGGGTAGCATTTCATAAGGAGGAGAAAAGCTGGGACAGCATTGTTTAAACAACACAAGTATCCTTCACAATTTGAGGGTAAAAAGGATCCAGCGGTGCAAACTGGCTGTCTTTCCCCCTTCTGCATCTGGTCTCCCTATGTGAGTATTCCTGATGACCAGATCAACCAAAACAGTCCCTTCCCACAGCTTCCTAGGGAGGGATGACAAGGTGGACTAGTATTTAGAGATGCGCCTTAAGTGGATGATTCCAACGCTCTGCAGAAATAAGAAAAATCAAGGAGTTGGCGCTCACCCATCACCCCTGGAATGTTCACAGAGGAAATTATAGTGGCATCAGCCCTTGTTCCTTAGAACTGCAGAACGGTGAAGCTGCTCATTAAGCAATTACACTGTTCAACAACAGAATAATTGTATTAGTTGCTTAAGAATGTGCAGTCTCCTTGCTTGGCTTCAGCAAAGGGTCATGTAGATGTGTCAGAGGGGATGGAGCTTCCAGTCCCAGCTCAGCCTCCGAGGCTGTGTTAGTTTGGTAAGTCCCTGATCGCCTCTGGGCCTTAACTTCCCCCTCTCTACAATAAAAATGTTCCTGGGTGGCAGAGTTTGCACTCGACTACTAACCTAAAGGTTGGCAGTTCGAACCCACCCAGAGGCACCATGGAAGAAAGGCCTGGCAATCTGCTTCCATAAAGATGACAGCCAAGAAAACCCCAAGGAGCAGTTCTACTCTGTAACACATGGAGTTGCCATGAATAGGAATCGATTCGATGGCAGTGGGTTTAGTTGGGTTTTTTTGGTACAGTAAGAAATATGGAACAAGAGTCGTTCTGACACTGGGACAGTCATTTCTAGGACTTCTGTACTGCAGTAGGGGCCAACAGACCTGCAAAGGGGGCGTGAACTCCAGCACACCCCCCAGGCCTCCTGCCTTGAGGATGTGAGCACACCCAGGAGACGGGGTCACTGACCTGGCTCATGAAGTCAGAGGAGGTTTCGTGTTCATCCCAAGTCTGGCTCCTGCCCCTCGCTTTCCCATTTCCAATGAGAGCATCATGTTCCTCCTCAGCCCCCTTGTGTCTCTTCCTTATCCCCGCTCCCAGCTCGAAGTCATCGGATGTCAGCAGGGACTTGCTGCTCAGCCTGAAACCCAGATGCATCACTGGTCAGCACCCTGGCCAGGCAACATGCACAGGCTTGGGGGCCACCCTCGCGGCCCTGCAGGGCTCGACGCTGGATGCTGCAGCACACGCAGAGATGACAGGGACAAATCCGGGATATTGGTGAGTGAAGCAGAATGAGAGTTTCGTGTGAAAGAGAAACTTCAAGTCAACATCCTCTGCTGGTCTCTTCTCTCGTGCTCCTTCACACACACACACACACACACACACACGCATCTCTGTATGGTTAGGTACCTCTTTAACAAAATGCGCCAAGAACAAGGATCAGAAATGCCAGAGAAATCCACCAAGACAGGAGGAGGGGAGAGGATTAAGCTCAAGAGGCTTTGATGAAGGACCATTCACTGGTCTCCTGTATCGGAATATACGGTACCCTGCCTTGAGCTAAAGCTTCATGAGTAATTATAATAAAAGCAACTAGTTTTTATTTGGTGCATAATGTGTGTCCTATAAGGAGCCCTGGCTGCACAATGGTTAAGCACTCAGATTCGAATGGAAAGGTGGGCAGTTAGAACCCACCCAGAGGGAGAAAGACCTGGCCATCTGCTTCCATTAAGATTACAGCCTAAGAAACCCTATGGGGCAGTTGTACTCTGTCACAAGGGGTCGCTATGAGTTGGAATCGACTCGAGGACACCTAACAAAAATACGTGCCCTGCACTGTTCAGCCGTTTTATATTTCACACTGCCCAACAATGCTGTACGTACTACATTTTATAGATGATGACACTGGGGCTCAGATGAGCTAATGATGGGCCAAGGTCGCAGAGTGATGTGGTGGAGCTGGGACTCAAAAGCAGGAAGTTCACCCAACTCAAGGGGCCAAACTGCCCGTGAGGCCCACACTGCCAGCAGCCCCACCTCTGGCTGTCTTTCCCAGGAGCCCCTTTCCTTCCCAACAGTGGCTGATGATGAGGTGTATCTTCCTCTTGCCTTCCTCTCTTCAGTCAGGAACATCCCAGGAGGTTCCATGCAAGACAAGGGGGCCCATGGGGCCATTGTCTCCTGGGAAGACCTGTGCTATCCCACTGCCTCCCCCTGAGCCTTCCAAAGGCACCTGGGGGTCCCTCTGCTTCCACTGGGCCATGTAGTGTCCACCCGCCTGATGTCCCAGGCTGAGGGACACTCTGGCCCTGTTCTGATGGGTCTCATTTGGCTCGCGCTACCCAACACCCAGGGAGAATCAAAGCATCTCCCCTGTCTATCGGGGCTCCCACTGGAGGCAGCATCCAGGAAAACCTCCAGGAGGTGTCACACGAAGCTTCTGCTGCTGCCCAAGGAGCCTGTCCCCACGGTGCTCGAAGGAGGCGCCCCTGGCAGCAGGGAGTAGTAGCAGAGAGGCCGAGTCAGGTGCCACAGGGGCAGGTGCTGCATGGAGAAGAGCAGGAGCAGGTCCCTAGCCATGGAGGACGCAGACGTGGCAGGAAGATGATGGACGGCTCAGCACTCAGGTTGTGGCATGAAACAGGCTCCCACTGGGATCCTTCCTCCCGCACTCAGTCAGCCTGTCCCTCCGCCACTCCTCGTTCACCCTCCAGGCCCAGGCACTGTGCTCCCTGGGAGCTACGTTCCAGGCAGGCCAAGCCCAAGGGACCCGAGGTCCCACGGGCCAGCCGCAGGAGCGCAGGGGCCGCCGGGCCCTAGGCGGTCTCCTCCCCTCCGAGCTCTGTGCAGCCCCCGACCCACCGAGGGGCCAGCCTTACTTTCCGCTACTGTCGCGGCTCTTCCCTCTCTTGCGGGGGGGCGACAGGGCGCTCAGGGCGTGGGTCCGTTTCCGCGGCCTGCCAGGGCCTCTGCGTGCCAAGCTTCTATGGGGGTCCTCGCGCCTGTCCCTTAAAGAGAATCACACGCTTGGCTGTGAACCTGGGAGGGCGGGGGGGCACGGAGAAAGGGCGCACAGTGCGCACACATCACCCAGGTCCACACACACGGAACACACCCATGCGACCGCACGTCTGAGCGCCAGCACCCAAGGCGCTCCGAGCAGGCCCTGCACTGCCTAACCTGGCCCGGCGGGCAGAGGGCTGCGGCGGGGGCATACTCACTCGCAGTCCCGGCGCCGCTGCAGCTTCACCAGCTCACGCTGCTTCTCCTTGTACTGCCGCTGCACCTCGGCCAGCCGCATGCGGAAGTCCAGCTCCATGGCGTCCATACTCTCCAGGGAGGACTTCATGGCATACATCTGCAGAGGGCGAGGGAGAGCAGCAGGGTGGGATGAAGGGTGCTGGCAGCTTGGGCCCACAGACTCCTGGCCTGCTCCCAGGCCCCCTTCCACAATTGGGACACATGCGCTAATGGTGAGAAGCAAGGGCTTTGGGGTCACAGAGACCCCCAGCATGAATCCTCCTTCCTGCCGCTGACTAGCTGTGGCCTGGAGCAAAGTGCAGGCTCCTCACCTTGAAGATAAATCAGCTGCCGTGGAGTCGATTCCAACTCACATTGACCCCGTGTATGTCAGAGTAGAACTGTGCTCCACAGGATTTTCAACAGCTGATTTTTCAGAAACAGACCGCCAGGCCTTTCTTCCGAGGCTCCACTGGGTGGATTCGAACTGCCAACCTTTCAGCGTGCAGCCAAGTGCATTACCGTTTGCACCACCCAGTGACTCTATCTTGAAGACAGGCCATGATACCGACTCTGCAGGCTTGTCCCAATGCTACATTAGCTCACATATGAAAGCACAGCCCACTGCCTTCAACCACTGCCTCATATGCCGGGCTATTTTATATGTGGGGGCTCAGACCCTGCAGGCAGGAAATGGCAGAGCCAAGTCTGGCCCCCAGGTCTGCCTTCTCCATGATTAGCATGCATGCTAGGAGGCATGCTGACAGGTTATCAGATGGGTAAACTGAGGCACAGAGAAGGGGAAGGGCAGCATGGTAAGTCAGGGGCAGAAGCTGGGTGCAGGTCGGGCCCTTCTGACACGAAAGCCAGACAGGCCCCAGCCGACACAGCATCTCTGGAAAAGACCTCCACCCCACCCCACCCTGCCCCGCCCACCCCAGGCCAGACCCTCACCCGCTCCTCCTTCTTCTGCATCCAGCTGTACTTCTTGTTGGGGTTCAGCTCACGGGGCAGCCGCAGGCTCTTGAGTGGGTCCACAAATGGGCTGTCCAGCACCTCCTGCAGCATGTGGCTACTGGCTGCCAGCAGGCTCTCCAGTGAGGGCCGTGTCGCCACACCCCGCTCCGCACCTGCAGACACGACCAGGTGAGCCCATGCAGCAGAGGGGTCTGGCCCACAGGCATGGCAGCAAGTACCCCTCTGGCCCCAAACAGGCCAGGCAGAGGCCAGAGTGAGCCACAGGGTGCCACCAAGATCTGACTGGACCAAGGCCTCCCAAGATTGGGAACTAGTGCTAAGAGGTGAGAAGACAGAGGCACAGCATGGCCTGAGGGTGCTGACAACAGAAGGACCCAGGAGAGCCGCCCCAGGCCAGCAAGAGGGTCTTTGCAGGAACACGGCTCTCTTTTTTTGCTCTTCTGTACTTAAATCTTCCCAGGATGAATATGTATGGGTTTCATCAAGAGAAAAAAACAAACCCAAAATTAAAAAGAGCCCTAAATTGTAAAATATGTGCACACGCTAAAAAATGCAAACCAAGCAGAAAGGTGCAAAAGCCTTCCTCCTCCCCAATCCACAGGTCTCTACCGGGAGGGTACCACTGTTGATGGTTGCTTGTAGAAGGTTCCAGAAAAAGCTGTATAGACTCAAATATTTGTGACATACATGGACATCATTTTTTTTTAAATATACAAATGGTATCAATCAATACAGACTGCATCACACTTGGCTTTTTTCTACCTAACCTCTTTCATATTGGCACATAACAAACAGATCCACCTTCATCCATGAACCTTGTAAAATCACTTTTTCTGTAGCTCAAAAGCATTGGAATGTTGGCAATTTTTATACAGCTGAATCTAACAGCAATTGCCTAGAATTCTCTTGCGGTGCTGTGTTGATCTGCTTCTGTAGAGATTATCACCAAGAAAACCCTATGGGGCATTTGTTGACCTTGGTATGTTCACTGTGTGAAAATCTATCAAGTTGTCCATAACTCTTCTGCACTTTTATGTGTCCATGTTATACAGGTAGTCCCCAACTTATGACATATTCAAGTTATGACAAACTGCACTCATAACAGTCTCTTTTTTTGTACATTTTATTGTTAGTAATGTGCACTAGACACAATGCTGCAGCACGTAATCTGCTGATGTTATCATTCTCAGATGTTCACTCGCAGATGTTCAAAGATCAAATTTACAGAGATACTGGTAATAAAAGGCAATAATTAATGAAAACTAGACTTACGTCAGAACTGACTTCAAAACAAACCCTGTCGTAAGTCAGGGACTAACTGTACTTCAATACAGGCAAAACTAAAGAAAAGCAAAGAAGTGAGTGCCTTAAATTTAGGATAATGTTTACCTTTGGAGGAAAGAGAGGGAGCTATGATTGGCAAAAGTCATCACCCAGGTGACTTCCAGGGTGCTGACAATGTTCTATTTCTTGACCTGCGTGGTGGTTATACAGTTACTCTTTTAACTCCCTGAGGGACTGAATTGCTGGATGGAGGGCTGTTGGGACCATGGTCTTGGGGAACATCTAGCTCAATTGGCATGACACAGTTTATAAAGACAATGTTCTACATTCTACCTTGGTGAGTAGCGTCTGGGGTCTTAAAAGCCTGTGCGCAGCCATCTAAGACACTCCACTGGTCTCATCCCTTCGGGAGCAAGGGAGAATGAAGAGAACAGGATACAAGGAAAAGATCAGTCCGAAGGACTAATGGACCACAGCTATCAAGGCCTCCACAAGACTGAGTCCAGTACAGCTAGATGATGCCCAGCTACTACCACTGACTGCTCTGACAAGGATCACGACAGAGGGTACTGGACAGAGCTGGAGAAGGATGGAAAACAAAATTCTAACTCACAAAAAAAAAGACCAGATTTACTGACCTAAAGGAGACTAGAGAAACCCCGAGAGTATGGCCCCCAGACACCCTTTTAGCTCAGTGGTGCAGTCATCTCCGAGGTTCACCGTTCAGCCTGGGAGTGGACAGCCCCATAGAACCAAATGGGGCTAATGAGGTACAGCAGTCCAGCAACAAGGGCCAGAAGGCAGAAGGGGACAGGGAAGCTGGTGATAGGGAACCCAAGGTTGAGTAACGATAGTGTTGATGTGTTGTGAGATTGTTAACCATTGTCATAGGGCAACATGTGTACTAACTGTTAAATGAGAAACTATTTTGTTCTGTAAGCCTTCATCTAAAGTGAGAATAGCAGCACAACTGGAAGAGCGTAGTCACTGAACTGTGCATGTAGAAATTTTTGAAATGGTGTATCTTTGGCTATGTATATTTTCACCAAAAAAAAAAGGTCGAGAAAGGAGAGGGTTGACATGTTGTGGGGTTGTTAACCAATGTCATAAAACAATATGTGTACTACTGTTTCATGAGAAACTATTTGTTCTGTAAGCCTCCACCTGAAGTACAATAAAAAAACAACTGAATTATGTTTTACGTAGTTTTTTGCGTATATATATATTTACCATTAAAATGGTTTTTACAAGTAATACATTTCCAGGATATATCTGTAAAGCCAATAATACAAAATAAAATACGAAGTGCAAAAGCGGGAGAAAAAAAAAAGCCTATGGGGCAGTTCTACTCTGTCACATGAGGTTGCTATGAGTGGGAATCCACTCTGCAGCACACAACAACAATCTGTCTAAATATCCTCCAATGAAAGCATTTAGGTTGTCTCCAATTTATTTTTTTTGTAGTGGACAGACATATCCACAGCTAGGGACACACCTGGTAGGAACATTCCTGCCAGTGTGGTTCACTTACATGAAGGTATGTGTATGTTCAACCTACAATAAATATTTTCATGTGCCCTCCAGAAAGGGTGCCCCAATATACAATCTCAACCCTGATAAATGAGAGCTCGTTTCCATTTCTCCACAATCTCACTATCAAATGAAAAGGAACCCATGCTCATTGCAGCATTGTTCACAAAAGCAAAAAGATGGAAACAGGTTAACCTAAGTGCCCATCAACAGGTGAATGGCTAAACAAACTATGGTACATACAGACAATGGAATATTATGCAACGATGAAGAACAATGATAAATCTGCGAAGTATCTCACAACATGGATGAATCTGGAGGGCATTATGGTGAGTGAAATAAGTCAATCACAAAAGGATAAATACTGTATGAGACCACTACTATAAAAACTCATGAAAAGGTTTACACACAAAAAGAAACAATCTTTGATGGTTAGGAGGGAGGGGAGGGGTGGTAGGGAAAAACACTAAATAGACAATAGATAAGTGATAACTCTGGTGAAGGGTAAGACAGTACAAATACTGGGGAAGCCAGTACAACCTGTCCAAGGCAAGGTCATGGAAGCTCCATAGACACATCCAAACTCCCTGAGGAACCAAATTACTGGGCTGAGGGCTGTGGGGACCATGGTCTCTGGGAACATCTAGCTCAAGTGGCATAACATAGTTTATACTGAAAATGTTCTATATTTTATTTTAGTGAGTAGCATCTGAGGTCTTAAAAAGCTTGTGAGTGGCCATATTAGATACTCCACTGGTCTCACTGTCTGGAACAAGGGAGAATGAAGACAACCAAAGACACAAGATTAGTCCAAAGGACTATTGGACCAGAACTACCACGGCCTCCACCAGACTGAGTCCAGCACAACTGGATGGTGTCCCACTACCACCACCAACTGCTCTGACAGGGATCACAACAAAGCTGGAGAAAAACGTAGAACAAAATTCTAACTCACAAAAAAAAAGACCAGACTTACTGGTGTGACAGAAACTGGAGAAACCCCTAGAGTATAGCCTCCGGACATCCTTTTAGCTCAGTAATGAAGTCACTCCTGAGGTTCACCCTTCAGCCAAGGATTGGACAGGCCCATAAAACAAAACGAGACTAAAGGGGCACACCAGCCCAGGGGCAAGGACTAGAAGGCAGGAGGGGACAGGAAAGCTGGTGATTGGGAACCCAAGGTCGAAAACGGAGAGTGTTGACATGTCATGGGGTTGGTAACCAATGTCACAAAACAATGTGTACCAATCGTTTAAAGAGAAGCTAGTTTGCTGTGAAAACCTTCATCTAAAGTACAATAATTAAAAAAATTACAAATAAATAAAGTACAATTTAAAAATTTTCTTTAAAAGAATATACATGGAAAAGAAAGTGAGCTGCTTCTAATTTTCTACCGATGTTTTCTTTGTGATCTAATACATGATCAATTTTTGTGCATGCTCCTCGTGCGCCTGGGGAAAAAGCACATTCTCCGTTATCCGTATGTAAGTTCCATAAGATCTTCATTAATAATTGTTTAGGTGAGGGTTTCTCGACGTGGATACTGTGGACATTTTCTCAGGTTGTTCTCTGTCGGGGGTTGTTCTCTGCAGGGTGTTTAGCAGCACTGCTGGCCTCTACCCACTAGATGTCAGTAACACACCCTCCCCTAAGCTGTGACAACCACAAATGTCTCCAGACTTTGCCAAATGTCCGGGTGGGCGGGGTGAAATCACCCCTTGTTGAGAATTGCTGGTTTTGATCTTCTAGATCCTTAGGGAAACTGAAGCCACAAAGCAGAGACTCACACGAGCTCTGAGATATAAAACGAGCAGATTAGGCACAGAGAAGCAGGCAGAAATGGGGGACGATAGATGCCATGCTATATGAAGACTGCCAAGGAACCAAGGAACAGAGCTGAAAAGAGACAACGACCTTCCCCAGAGCCAATAGAAGAAAAGCCTTCCCCTAGAACCACCGCCCTAAATTCGGACTTCTAGCCTCCTGAACTGTGAGAAGACAGATTTGTTTGTTAAAGCCACCCACTTGTGGTATTTCTGTTACAGCAGTACTAGAAGACTAAGAATCGGGTATTAGATGAAAGCCTTCCAGCTCCCCAACAAGGATGATGTCTACGTATCCCCCACCCTACTTCCAGCTCTTCTGAGTCACAGGGGTCTTTGGTGCTGACAGACAAGGGGCTGGGCACAACCCTGTCAACCCCCTCATCCTCCAAAAAGCTGGCTTGCCGATGCTCCCCCTGCTGGCAGCAAGGGACACCTGGGGGACCGTTAAGCCTGCCTGGGGGCTCTACCAATGAGGGGGGCCTGGGAGGCGCCATGATGCTGCAAGCCAGGGCCAGGTGGGACTAGGGCAGCATCAGACGCCGAGGGCAGCTGAGAGAAGGAAGGGAGGCGGCCAAACGCCAGGCCACCCGGTCTGGTCTGACACGTCTGCGGGGAGCTGCACGCAGAGGGAAATAGGGACGGCCCCGGAGGCTCCGGAAATCAGGTGAAAGGTGGGAAAACTCGAACCAGGGCCCCAGAAGGCTGGGCCCTGCAGCATGACCCAGTACAGTTCACGGACCGGCCAAGAACCTCATCCTGGTCTGTGACACTTTCGGGGACGATGCTCACTCAGGAATGGAAGAGGACCCCCGAGTCCCTCCCCACCTTCTCCAGTGGTTACACACCACCTTCACACTGACACCAAATGCAGGTGCCCAGCCCCAACTCACCCCCAAGCTCCAGATCGCAGACCCAGCTCCACACCACACCCCACCGGGACACTGACAGGCAGCTCAAACCTTACATGCCCAAAACAGAACACCCGCAGCTTCCCCCCTAAAACCTGCTCCTCCCTCAGCCTCGCCCACCACTCCCCCTCAGTAACTGGCAAGTCTTCCCTGGGTCAGGCCCCAAACCTGGAGTCCCCCTTGTACACCCATCCAACCCACCAGCCAGCACAGCTGACCAGGGCTGGGTGTCCACGCCCAACTGAAACCCACGGTTCCTCAACTCCACCACCAACCCTATGCTGGCCACAGGCGCCAGCACCCAGGCCAGGCTATGGTCTGTTCACACAGCAGCTGAAACGACCCCATTTCCATCCAATTCTATTGCTCCAGCTCAAACCACCTTCCCTTGGCAACCCGTTTCACCCTAAGTAAAAACCAGTTATATGATGTTCAAAAGGCCCCCAGGACCCGCCCTCCCGTTATTCCACCGCCAACCTCCTCACCTGCCCTTCTCCCCCTAAGCAGGCCAAGTCCATTCCCGGGGCCTCAGAGCCTTTGCAACTCCTGTGCCTTCTGCCAGGAATGGTTTTCCCCAGAAGAGCCTTCCTCCCTCACCTCCTCTCAGTCTCTCCTGCAGCGTCCTGACCATCCCCTATAAGAGCTCACCCTGCCCACCTCTGCCCTGTCCCCTTCCTGCTTCCTCTTTCTACCTAGCACCTGTCACCACCGGACAGCTTCCCACAAGCTGGCTGTTGACTGATCACCACGAAGCACACAGTAGGAGCCTACCAAGTATCTGTTAAACAAATGAATGAATGAATGTAGGGCCCCCAAACAGAAAATGAATTGGCAAAACTCAGGGACGCCAAAAGGGGAAAGTGGGCAGCAGCCCTCACAAGGATAGTTCTGGAGACTCCCTGGCCCCCAGCCCCCTAGTCCTGCTCAGGCCCCCCACCAACCCCTTTTCAGTTCCCATTTAAACACCCACCAGTTGGTAGGACCACGGGGATTTTTATTTTCTTCTCAACTTTTTTTTTAAACCGAATATTTCAGTGAAAGAAAAGCGCAAATGGACTTTAGAACACCACCAGCAACAGGTGTGCAAATGTCCGCTGTGAGAAAATGGGCATCTCTACCCACCACCAATGGGAGCCACGTGGGCTCGCTCTCTAGAGGCAATTCGAACACAACTACTGAAGAGCCTAGAAAATGTGCCCTTCCACCTCCACACAGATGAAAAAACCCTGCCAGTGAGTCAACTTCAATTCATAGCGACCCTATAGGACAGAGCAGATCGGCCCCACAGGGTTTCCAAGAGTATAATCTTTATGGAAGCAGACTGCCACGTCTCAGAGCAGGTGGTGAGTTCCAACCGATGACCTCTCAGTTAGCAGCTGAGTGTTTTAACCACTGCACCACCAAGGCTCCTCCATAAAGATTCCACCCTTAGAAATGCTATGGGGCAGCTCTACTCTGTTACATGGGGTCACTCTGAGACGAAAACGGGCTCAATGGCACCCAACAACAACCGCCGGAGATCTGCCCTAAGGAAGAGCAGAGCTACAGACCAGGACTTTCCTTCAAGGGTAATCATCACCTTATTTGCAATAACAACAAAATGGCAAAGAACGTGCCTGACAATCTAGGGTTAGGTACTCAGAGGCTGGGCCCTTCTCCATGAGCAAAAACCGGGCAGACCCTAAAAACTCACAGCCTTAAAAAATATTTAATAAAGAATATAGCGGGTACAGAGTACTGAATTTTGAAATATACATAGAGGATGAAAAAAATCAGAAACAGTTAATGGTGATAACTTGCACAACATGATGGACGTAATTAACATTCCTGAGTTGTACATGTAAGAAAGGCTAAAATGGCAGATATTATATATATTCTTAGCACAAAAAGACAACATATTAAGTGAAGAAGACAGGTTACAAAACACTGTTTACAATGATTTTAATTTTAGAAGCAAACATGTATACGCGTGGGTAGAAAAAGTTCTAGAAGAAATATACCAAAATATTACCAACGGCACTATCTCTTCAACAGGGCTGCCTGGGGTCTTCCTCCGTGCCAGGTAAAACTGTGGCTCCCTCTTCTGCTGAGAGCACCCCATTTTCTTTTTTTGAAATTCATTATGATAAAATAGATAACAAAATTTGCCATTTTAACTATTTTCAAGTGTACAGCTCAGTGACATTAATTATTTGCCATGTTGTACAAGCATCACCACCATCTACTTCCACAAATGTTTTTGTCACCCCGAACAGAAACTCAGTATCCCTTAAGTAATAACTCACTATTCTTCCCGCCCTCCCAGTCCCTGGTAAACTCTAATCTACTGTCTCTATGCATTTGCCTAGAAATCTAGATATTTCATATAAGTTGAATCAAACAGTTGTCCTTTTGTGTCTGACCTATTTCATTCAGCAGTGTTTTCAGTGTTCATCCATGTCACAGCCATGTATCAGAACTTCTTTTCTCTTTATAGCTGAGTAATACTCTACGCACGTACCAACCTTGTTTATCCACTCATCTGCTGATAGGTTGTTTCCACCTTTTGGCTACTGTGAATACTGATATACAAGTATCTGTTTGAGTCCCTGCTTTCAACTGTTTTGGGTACACCTAGGAGTGGAAATGCTGGGTGATAAGGTATCCTGTATTCTTTTATGGACCCTCCCTAATTGGGTGGAGGGAGGTGACACACCCCAGACAAGGACTGGGCATTGTCCGCCTACTCCATCTCCCTGGCCTCAAGGTTTGCTTCTGCGAAAGGCATAATAAACTCAAGTCAGCCAATGAGAGCACATCAGGCAAGAGGCGGTCTTGTGAGAGAAAGAGACCACTAAGCTGACTGGCCCATAGGCCTAGAAGAAAGTGTTAGTGACCCCCCACAAGGCAAATGAGCTTGTCTTGAACAAGGCCAACAGAGAGAAAAGTGGTACAGAGAGAGACTGGGAAGGGGGTGTGAAAAAAAATTTCAGATGACTTGGTTTGAGCACCTGGATCCAGCCATACCTGAAATCCATCACCCAATCACTCCTGGACTTTGGTGTCACACATCAATAAATTTTCCTCGCATTTTCTAAGCCAGTTAAAATTACAGTTTATCACTTGCAACTCAGAGGACCCTGCTAATGCGAAACATACCATCGCCAGAACAACAGGAGAGGTGTTACCACAGAGAAACCCTAAGAGCAGACCACTGGGTGTGCTCACCTCCCACCTCCTGGCTCCTCTTCTCCAGCTCCAGCTCTGCGATCTCGCTCAGCAGGGTGATGCCGTGCAGGAAACTCTGCTCCAGGACAAGGTTCTGGGCTGCTTCCAGCTTCTCCAAGGCTTGGGGTCCAGCACCCAGTGAGGGCAAGGATCTGGCCTGAGGCAGCTCCGCCGCCGCAGCCAGGGCGTTCATGCCGGCTAGTGGGTCCTCCAGGCTGGGCAGAGACTGCTCAGAGCCTGCCTCCTCCAGGTAGCAGGAGCTGCCAGGCACAGGTGTGGCCTCCGGGGCCTCAAGGCTCAGGCACTCCCCCTCCCCGGAGGGCATGTCACAGTCGGGCAATTCCAGGTTGGGTTGGGGCTCGCTTGGGGTTGCTGGGGCCAAGGCTTTCTCGGGCACGGCCTCCCCCATGGGCATGTCGACGGGCACCTCCACTGGCTCCTCCTTGGCCTCTACCAGTGTCTCAGGTGTCAGCCTCCCCGCAAGGTCCGTGGCAGCCGTGCAGGATTCTGTTCGGCCTGGTGACTCAACCTGTGCTTCAGCTTGCTCCGCAAAGTCTGGGCACTCAGAGGGCTCTGCACCTCCCTGACCCCCAGCGCTCAATGCCTGAGCTTCCAGCAGACTAGCTCCGCAGCCGCCCGTGGGGCTAGGGGCCGGCACGGCCTCGGCAGCAGGCAACACCAGTGGCGACCCCAGTGGATGCAGCTCCGAGGGGCTCTCATCCAGGTCCTCCATCTCTGCCTTCACCTCCCGCTCCACCAGTGGCTCTTCCTCTGGGGGCCCCCGCAGCGGCTCAGGGATCTTGGAGGGGGACAGGCGGATGGGCTTGTCTTCAGGCGAGAGCGCCAGGCGCTCAGGCCCATCGGCTGGGAGCGGCACATCGGGGGCCAGGCCATCGGCATCAGCGGCTGCGGTGGGCTGCAGCAGGAATGGGTAGGGCCTTCCATAGTGGGGTGGCAGGGCTTGAAATGGATACCTGGGAGGGATATCTGCCAAGGATACCGAGAGTCAGAGTGTGGCCGAGCCAAACCCAGGGGCCTTCCTCCCACAATATCCCCAGGGAGCCCAGAGTCTGACGTCCCCTAGATCCACATAACACCCAGGGCAGAGACCTTTCAGCCACCCTCTGCTTAACCTGCCTGGGGTCTCTTCTAGTCGGGCACCTGAAAGGCCCAAGGACCACAGAGAGACAATTCACCACCATCTTGTCCCCAAGGACCCTGAGGTCCTAGAAAAGACAGGTATCCCTTTCTCTTCCCTCTCTCACCCCCGGCACCTGGATCCAGCCATACCTAAGATCACAAGTGGGCCATGAGTAAATGTTCAGTAGTCTACAAAGACCTAAGAGGCCCTCTCCCAGCCTCGGTCACCTCTGGCCCCATCCTTTAAGGACTCTCACCCCATTAAGGCAGAACTGGGGCATCCAAGTGGTTCAAAAGTGATAAAGTTCTGTTCCCCTTCGCCCCGCCTCTTTTTACTCAGACTCCGACTTGAGTGTTCTCTGTGGAGGGTGGGGGTGTGCTCAGTGTGTCTCTGCGATACTCCTGCTCTAGCCCAGGGATACGCAAAGTAGGTGCTGGTCAGAAACCAGATGAAGGTCAGAGAGAGGAAGGGAGTACCCCATGGGCCGATGCTCAGCGCTGGCCATTAGCATCTCATCAAATCTCCCCAGAGAGGGGGAACCACTAGACCAAGCTCACACAGCATAATGGTGGCAGAATCAGAATTCGAACCCAAGTCTTCCCACATGCGAGCACATGCTCTAATAGCCACCAGGAAGGAAAAACACAAGTTGTGTCCCTAGGTCCCTAGATACAGGAACACGGGGAGAGGGAGTGTGTGCATGCAGCACATGAGGGGTGCTAAAAATGGGCATCTCTGTGCTGTTATCATCAGCATGACAATCCAGCATCTACTATGTGCCGGGTGGAGTCCCTCCGTGGTGCACACGTTTAATGCACTCAGCTGCTAACCGAAACATTGGAGGCTCGAGTTTACCCTGAGTTGCCTCGGAGGAAAGGCCTGGTGATCTACTTCTAAAAACTCAGCCATTGAAAACCCCACGGAGCACAGTTCTGCTCTGATACACATGGGGTTGCCATGACTCAGAATCAACTAAACAGCAACTGGTTGAGTATTTCACAGGTCTTATTTTAAGGTTTAATGTTCAGAACAAGTGGTCCTGAGCAGGTCCTAATATTAAACTCAATTGTCCTGACACCACCACTGGGGAAGTGGTGCGAAGGAAAAGAAAAATTCTGGCTGACTTGGTTTGAGCACCTGGATCCAGCCAAACCTGAAATCAGGAGCTGGAGAGAGATCGCATCTGACTGTGTGTTCATGCATTCATTCCAGAGCCTAACACGGGACCAGTACACAGTAGGTGCTCAACAGAGACAGAATGAATGAATGAGTGAATGAGCTGAGAAGGGACCAGTTTCACCAGCAGTCAGAACCCGTGCTGATGAAAGCTTGGGCTGGCCAGAGTCGAGGCAGCTGAAGACCCAGGGTCCCAGTCCACCCCAGGAGGGGCCAGCACCATTCACCTGAGAACAAGGCCTGGAAGGGGCTGGGGGCTTCCTTCTCCAGCTCCAAATCCTTCTTCTCGACGACGTTCTCGGGGGCCTCCTCCTTGCGGGTGATGCTGGGGGCAGGCGGTGGGGAGGCGGGTGGCGGGCTGCTGGGGTGGGAGCTGGGCGTGGCAGGGTAGGCGTAGCTGGGTGGCTTGGACACGTCCTCCAGCTTCTGGATGACCTTGGCCTTCAGGGCAGCCACAGGGGAAGCACGAGGAGACAGGGGTGGTGGTGGGCTCATGGTCTTGCTGTAGCTGCCTGCAGGGCCGGGGGGCTTCCGAGGCAGCAGCCCGGGGCCTGTAGAGGCCAGGCCAGCCTTGCCTGCTGCCTCTAGGCCCCGCCTGCCCACCTTCTCCTCCATCTCCACGCGGTGCTCCTGGGCCTTCAGCCGCTCCTGCTGGGGAGGGGGCCGGTAGACAGTGTCAGTTCAGCAGGAGCCATGGGTGCCGCCCCGTCCCAGGGCCCCACTGCCCAGGGAGAAACTCAGGCCAGGTCCAGGGTCCAGACCACCCAGGCCCGCCCAGGCCTGACATGGACGTTCTAGGATGGCGGGTGTGTAACAAGCGCAAAGTTCCGTGTGGAACCCCAGCAGAAGGGACTGCCGTGGGGCCCAGGAAGGGGGCAGCTGCAGGGAGGTCAGGGGACCTAGGCGCCTTTCGGGGCCTCCACCTGGAGCCTGAAGCCCTGTGGTGACCCTTCCAGGCAGGGGGGCGGGTGGAGGTATGAGGCTCTTGCGGTGAAGGCACTGCCCCCTCCTGGACACCTTCAAGTGTCAAGACCTTGGGGGCACTCACTCCCTGCTGAATAATTTCTGTGAATTATCACACTGTGCTCTCAAAACCCCTCAGGGGGCAGCAGGGGCTCTGGCCCCAGCTGTGATGAGCAGAACATCAACGCCAGGACCGCTGTGCTCTCTGGGGCGCATCAGTCCACAGTCACGGGGAGAACCACCTACTGGGCTAAGTGCTCCCATGGTGACAATACCTCCTGAAGCAAACCAGGGAGGTAGGAGTTATTAGCATCTCCAGATGAGGACTCTTGAAACCCAGAGAGGTTAAGTCACTTGCCCAAAGGCACCCAGCCAAGAGAGACAGATCTAACATTTGTACCAAGGGCAGTGGTCCCAAGCACCATATGCTCCTGGGGCTGCCTCCGCTAGCCTCCTGAGGGTCTGCTGAAAAGGATAGATTAGACATTCCGGAATGCCTCCAAGGAGCCAGGAGGACTGGGGACCTTAGTGAGTGAAGCCACACTGAGGGGACCCCTCACATCTCCTATCTTAACGGGAGCAGGCCGCACAGGTTGGGCAGCCCAGCCAGGCCCTCGTGCGATGCTGAGTGGCCACGTAGAGAGAAAGGGCCAGGCTGGCCTTGGGCAACAGAGGGAGTCCCCCAGTGTACAAGGCTGCCTCTCCTATCTCGGTGTCCCCACTGCTCCCCTGCTCCCTGCCAGGCTCCTTCACCTCTGTTCCCTCTGCCTGAAGTGCACTTCCACCATGTCTGCTCAAATGCCACCTCCTCCAGGAAGCCCTCCCTTACTGCCCCTCCTGCAGAATCTGTAACTGTTTGGACAAGTTAACTGTTGTGCCTCACCATCGAAGGGGGTCCCAGGAGGGAGGGTTCTCCACTGCACAGCCCCACGCACACAGCAGGCACTCAATGCTTGTGCTCCCAGCCCTGCCCCCACTCACCACCAGCTGGGCGCTCCTCTGCAGCTCCAGGGCCTGGGCCGCCTGTTGCTGCAGGTACAAGAACTCCTGCTGCCGCAGGAAGTGCTGCTGGGAGAAGAGCTGTAGCTGCTGGGCATGGTGCAGGGGGCTGCGGCTTGGTGGGTACAGGGCCGGCCAGAGTGGGGGCCCAGCAGCCCGCTCCATCAGCTCCGCTGGGGGTGAGACACGCTGTGAGGCTGCAGTGACGCCTATGCCACCCATTTCACACAGCAGTGGGCTGGGTTCCAGCCAGGCCCCTGGCCTGCTCCCTGGGGATCAGGAATCCTGGCCTTTTCTATCAGCCACCTGCACCTGCCCCCCAGGCCCAGGGAGCGTGGTCCTGTCCACAGGCCAGGGAGGCATCTGAGATCCTTTGCCAGATGTGCTGACAGGGGTCTGTCCTGTGGATGATGGGGACCTATCCTGGGGACGACGGGGGAGCTATCCTTGGCCTGTTGGGGGGCCTGTCCTGGGCTGACGGTAGCCTGTCCTGGGCTGACACGGGATCTGTCCTGGGGCCAACAGGGACCTGAACTCAGCTCTCCAGCCTCCCAGCCCCAAAATCTCCCACCGCACCCAGCAGTCTGCAAACTGAGTCCCTTGAAGGGGTGGGGACTTGCAAAGCGGGGGAGAGGTCAAGGCCCCCCAGCCAGGGCCACTCTGTGTTGCTTCCCATATGGGGTTTCTGGGTAAGATATTGTCTAAACAAGGACCTCAGTGGCTTTCAAACACGTGTAAACCATTGACGACAAATGTTCTTCCCAAGCCCAAGTCTGTCCTGTATCCCTGTCCTTCTAGAACCCCACCCCGCAGGCCCAGGCCACCCCCCCCAGTGCCCACTCACCAAAGTGAGGCAGGTGATCGCTGGGAATGACCACCAGCTGGCCCGATTGGGGGTCCCTGACAAACTGGTAAGCCGAAGGCAGGGAGCCCCCCAGGCCAGGGGGGAAGGCAGGCGTCATGCCCTGGTGCAGAGAAGGGGGGCCCAAGCCTAGGAGAGACATCCAGGCTGTGTCAGTGCTGGGGTCAACCCCACCACCTTTGAGGCCACCCCACCCCGCTGCCCCACATTCCCGGGGCCCCATCCAAGGAGCCAAGGGGGCAGGGGTGCTGGCGGGCTACATACAGGCCACCAGAGCCTACCCCCATCAGGCACCTCCCCTAAAGCAGGCATAGCACTGGACCTCAGAAAGCCAGTACTAGAACTAGCTTCTTGGGCCAAATGAGAGAACTGAAGCTTGGGGTGAGGGGGAGGGCCACGACCAGAGAACAGCAGAACCTGCTCAACATTCCCCACCACCCACCAACTCCACCGCTACACTCAGTCCGCAGAACCCTTGAAGATCTCCACCAACTCTCCCCATTCACACCCTGCCCTCGTCCACCAGGTGAGGGGAGGGGCCGCCATGCTCACCCAGCCAGTCAGCCAGGCCCACCCCCAACCACACCAAGTCCCCACTCACTTGAGAAATACTCCCCCAGCCCCAATTCAAGACAGAGGTACCCAGCCCCACCTCTAGAACTACTCTAGCCCCACTCCCACTCACTGCAGGGGTGCCCAGTCCCAGCCCTGCCCCTGCTCCTCCTCACCATACGGGTGCCTGCCCACCCTCAGCCCCACCCCCACTCACCATAGGGGTGCCCAGCAAGCCACATGGACGTGCTGCCCGAGCGGGGCAACCAGGGGTGCGTGGCCAGGTGGGCTGTGGGGTCGGCAGACCATCGGCTGGAGCCTGACAATGCCGGGCCCCCAGTCACCATGAGGTTGGGGTTCAAACCGTTGGCCGCACAGCTGGTGGGGTGTAGGCGGGCCAAGTCTGCCAGCTCCTTGCTTTCTCTGGAAAAGGGTACAGAGGCATTAGCCACCAACCAGCCAGTGGTCCCAAGGCATGGGTGGGGACAGGGGTGTGGCCCCAAGGACCAGTAGAAGGAGGTGTCCAGGCCTCCTCCTGCCCCAAGGCTTGGTCACCAGTGCCCAGCGTCCCCACCGGCCCCAGCATGACCCGCCCCAGCATGACCGTGGCCCACCCACCCAGGTGCAGGGCAGGAAAGTCTCCCCAAAAAGAAGGGCGTGGATGGGCTATGTAGCAGTGACTTCATCCACTGACTACTGAGGCCTTGACATCCAGCACAGTCGGGGCAGAGACAACCTCTCCCAACACCGTGCCCTGTTCACCAAGCGACTGCTCTGGGCCTGCCCTGAGCTGGGCACCCTAAACTCCTCCTCTCAACTGTCAGGACAGCACAGGCCCCGACGCTGCACTGTCTTGTACCCATTGTACAGATAAGACTGTTAAGGCTCAGAAAAGACGTAAGGGCCCCACAGGGTGGGCCTCCCAGACCCAGCAGAGCTGCCCTCCCCCACAAGCCTCACCTGAGCAGCTTCTCCTGGTCTCGGTCCAGCCGCCCATCCAGCAGCCGCTCCTCCCGGTGCCGGCCACGCTCGTCCGCACAGCCCTCCTCTGCTCGCCCGTGCCCTGAGCAGGGACCAGACAGGGCATAAGCCCCCAGCCAATGAGACCGACGCCCACCTTGACGCCCGCCTGCCCGTCCACTCCAACCTCTGCAACCCAGCCCTCCTGCTGGCCTCTCCCCTCAGCTCCCACCCCCCCCACAACATCCTCATAGCCCCTCACCCTGCAGTGTCCTAAGATACTATCCTCTGCATTCACCTGCCAGCTGCCCATGACCCTCAAAGCCAGCCCAGCATCCCCTGTGCCAGGGAACATCCCTCTGTCACACTTCAAACAGGCCATCTCTGTAACAGGACAGGGACTGTGGCCGTGATCATGAAGCCCACGTTGTTGTTAGGTGCTGACAAGTTGATACCGACTTGTAGCTACTCCAAGTGACAGTGTACAAATGCCCCATAGAGTTTCCTAGGCTGTAATCTTTACGACAGCAGACGGTGGGCCCTTTCTCCCGAGGAGCCACTGGGTGGGTTCGAACCGCCAACCCTTTAGCAACTAGCAGCCGAGCGCTTAACTGTTTTTGCCACCAGGGCTCCTTCTTTAAACCTACAGGTATCAGCATTACAACAACAACTGTAAAGTACACAATAATAAACTGGGGGGGGGCAGTTTGTCTCACAGGTATTATTTTAATGACAGGAAGGCGGGTTCTAAAGTTGGAGTTTTGGGAGGAGGACGGAGACGGAAGGGGAAGCCACAACCCAAAAAAGCGGTGACATTCTGAACCACAGCTAGACCCATCAGGGGATCAGCTGCCAGGCTGAGGTGCCACTCGAGCCAGTAGAGATACACATGGTTAACTTTGTAGAAGTCAAGATAAAAAAAAAACAAAACAAAAGTACATTCTCCACTTAGGGGGCTGGACATGGCCCCGGGCAATAGGTGCCCCAGCTTGCCCAACCCTGCACATCCCCAAGTTGGGCACTTAACCCTAAGCACCTCCTCTCAACTGTCACAACAACCCGGTGCCCACTGTACAGATGGGTACAGGTCACCCCCACCGCGGCCAGTCCAGCTGCAAATTCTGGGGGCTCCTGACCCTACACACCCACACATGAGCAGAGAAGGCGGGCCGGCAAGACCCACGCATGGCATATAGCCAGTTACTAAAGGAGGAGGATGGGGGGTGGATGAGGGAGTAGGAGTACCCTACCACCATCCCTCCACGTCCCTCCTTGTCCCTGCCACCAGGCACCAAGCCCTGCCATGGCCCCTGGTCCTGGTATGCCCAGTAAACCGGTACCCATGGTGACAGCCCCTGGACAGCAAGGACACAGGAACCAGCAGGGGATGGCAATAGAGGCTGCACGGACACGTGGCAGTGACTTTTCCTCAAGGAAAAACTGTTCATCAGCTCCCGGGACTGGTGCTGTCAACTCTGACTCATGGCACCCCCTATCTGTGTCAGAGTAGAACTGTGCTCCATGGGGTTTCCACTGGCTGAGTTTTTGAAGATCAACAGGACTTTCTTCTAAGACCCCTCTGGGTGGACTCGAACCTCCAAACCTTTTGGTTAGCAGCCAAGCATGTTCACTGACTGCACCACCCACGGGCTCCCTGATAGAGGCACTCTGTATCTATTCAAGCGTGAAGCTCTGTCCGGACAGTGGAATAGCAATGCCACCCCCTGTCAATCACAGTCAGCACAACATGTGATTGCTGGCTAGCGTCTACCCAGAGGCACCTCGGAAGAAAGGCCTGGTGATCCACTTCTGAAAAATCAGCCATTGAAAACCCTACGTAGTACAGTTCTACTTTGACACACTGCTGTCTCACAGTGGGTCCTGAGTAGCCTCCTCCATCCCACCCACTTCGAGGAGGACCCCAAGTCCCCAGGACCAGAAGGGGCACTGCTCATGAGGAAACCAAGGCCCATGCAGGACAGGGCATGGAGGGTCACCTCGGGATCTGCAGCATCTGCTGGGGAATCGCAGGGTGTGTGCTCAGCCCCGCTCTCAAGAGGCAGATGGCCTCCTAGGCCCACACCTCAAGGTTCAGCCACCCAAGGAGGAGGGCCAGGTCAGTGTCACACCTGCCCTATGGCTAGGCCACCCACATGCCCACTGGGTCACCCTGGAGCCTGGGACAGGCTCTGGGCAGGATGCTCCTGGAGCCCCCGGAAGGGGCAGACACTCGGAGCACAGCTCCAAGCTCTCTGTTCTCACCGGACTGGACGCCCCTCGGCTCCCCTGGCTGGCACCACCCAAAGCCTCAGGGCTTCACCTCTGGGTCCTCACCCACCACTGGGGACCAGAAATCTGTTTGCACGTGGCACACTGCAGGGGTCTCCATGGTGAAGCACCCCACCACCCTAGAGACCCAGGCCTCTCCCTCCAAATTCCGTTGGTCTCCAGGAGAACCCACCCCGTCCTCTGTCTCACCTTGCTCTCATCTGGGCTCGGGCTCTACCCTCGGCACTCAGCACCTCCAGGTCCCCCTGACGCTGCTCACACTCGCCCCTCTGCAGAGCCCATGCCGCCTCTTCAGAGTGCCCCAGCCCCTCTCCCTGGCTCTCTGCACTCACATGTGCCCCCCCCGCCGCCACCTCAGGGCCACAGACACACTGCTCCCCTACCCAGAATGTCCCTCCCTGGCCCACTCCCCTCCCCCACCAGAGCCCAGCTCAAATGCCACCTCCTCCGGGAGGCCCTCTCTGACCAGCTCTCCTCTCTCAGGCTCCCTCACAGCACTGACCACAAAGCAGTGACTTTGCTTTTTAGTTGTTCATCGTCTGTCTCCTCCATCAGACTGTGCACTGCTCTGGGCAGGGGCCACATCTGTTCCATTTGTGGCTGCCTGCCCCCTCCCACACACACACACATAGTGCCTGCCACAGGTGGTGGGGCAACAAACACGGGCAGGACAAACGGATGGATGGATGAATGGATTCATGTGGAAATCTAGAGGAAGAGTGAGCTACGCAGAGGAACCAGCAGGTGCAAAGGGCCTGGAGCAGGAGCATGCTTAGGAACAGCAAGGAGGCCATTGCGACTAGAGAATAAGCCAGAGAGGGTCCACGAGATGAGACCACAAAAGGGGGGTGGGCTGAGGGGGTGGGGGTGGGAATCATAGGGCCTTTCGGGAAATGAGACAGAGTGTGTTTCAGAGTTTACTCAAGGTGAAGGGGGAAGCCAGCAGAAGCTCTAAGCAGGGGTGTGACTAGAATTGACTGCTCCGGCCACCGTGGACGAAGGAACCAGAGGTACCATCGCCTTTCTGGCCTGACTTGCAGTCTAGGCTGGTGTTATGGATTAAATGGTGTCCCCAAAAAAATACGTGCTGTAAATCCTAGCCCTATGGACGTGATCCCGTTTGGGAATAGAGTTCTCTTTCTTAGGTTAATGACATCACATCAGTGTTGAGAGCGTCTTCAACTATTCACTTTTGAGATATAAGAGCAGATCACGCACAGAAAAAAGCAGACACGGGGAAGACAGACACTATCTGAAGATGACAGATGCCACCCAGGACCTCCAAGGACGGCCAGCTAGAGAAGCTGAGACAAGGACCCTTCCCCAGAGCGAACAGAGAGAGAGAGAGCCTTCCCCTAGAGCCGGTACCCTGAATTTGGACTTCTAGCCTTCTAAACTGTGAGAAAATAAATTTCTGTTCGTTAGAGCCACCCACTTGTGGTTTTTCTGTTATAGCAGCACTGCATAACTAAGACAGCTGGGGACCAGGGGAGGTCCCCTAAAGTTCCAGCCCCCTGCCCGGTGGAGAACCCAGCTCCTCTGGGAGGCAGGTGTGCAAGGCAGAAGGTCGGCGCCCTGAGGTTCCAGAGACACACGCCCTGACCCTGGGTCACCCCCGCCCCACCCTGGCATGAGCAACACAGACCACGGCACTTACGTGGCTGGCACTGTCCTCCACTCCGCATATGCCTTCATTCACTCCATTGTCACCACCTGCAGGGCCTATTCCTCACGGGGAAACCGAGCCACACCTACCCAGGACCCACAACTAACAAGCAGGTGCTGTGGCTGGGGCTGTCTTCCCGACCCCTGCAGGGGCCCCCCTCAAGAGCGCCTTCACAGGGCGAGTTCTAGGGACATGGGGGCCCTTTCTAGCAGCATCATTATCAGTATCTGTCTACACAACTACCTGGCAGCCCCCGCCCCACTAGGACGCCCCCAGGGTGGGACATCCCCCAGCACAAGCCACCACTGTCCCTGGGGTGACAGCCGGCTTGTGTCACACACTCCACATCCTGGCCATTAAGCTCGAGGCTCAGGTTGAGGCCTGGTTGCCACAGCAACCCCATCCCAAGCATCTCACCACCTGCTCAGTGCTCATCTGGAGGCCTGAGGCAGTGGCCGGGTGGCCCACCCCTCCCAACACCACTGCGTAGGCACCCGCCCTATTTGATGGTAGGGGTGGGGGACACCCCTCCCAGCCCCTCCTCCCCGGATCTGGTCCCCAACTTGCCTCCACCACAGAGGGGACAGGCAAAGGGAAGGAGGAGAGAGATGGGCCCTAGCTTGGTGGTCCAGCTCAACTCCGCCTCTCCAGTTGTGTGACCTTGGGCAAGTCATTTCGCCTCCGTAGGCTCGGTTTCCCCATCTGTCAAGTTAGGAGAATGACAGTTCCTAGTCAGCAGGGCTGTGGGGAGGATATGACAGCTGGTCCATATCACAACAGAGTCCTCAGGATGGTGTCTGCACATGCAGGATGCAGCTACATGGCAACAGTTACTGTGATGGGTGAGCTTCTCAGACAGGGACACCAATGACTGGGGCCCCACAAGTGTAGATAATGGCCCATCCTGAGATCATGCCAGGGCCCAAGACCCCTCTAAAACCAGACACAGACCCTGCGGGAGTCCACACTGGCATTTCATCGGAAGAAGGACCCAGGCCTCACACACATGGTTGAGTCCTAAGACCCTAATGCCTTCTACATGAGCACAAGAAAGACAGGGTTGTTCATTAAGCACCTACTACGTGCCTGTCAGCCAGCCTGACATCACACTATTAAGGGGTCCCAGTTACCGCCAAATAGTAAAAGTGAAAACCAGAGTCCCTGGGTGATGCAAAGCAGTTAACAAGCTCGGCTGCTCACCAAAAGGTTGGAGATTCAAATTTACCCAGAAGAAAGGCCTGGTGATTTACTTCCCAAAAATCAGCCACCGAAAACCCTATGGAGTACAGTTCTACTCTGATGCACATGTGAGCACCATGAGCCAGAATCGACTCGATGGCAACCGGTTTTAAAGGTGGAAGACTCAGGCCCAGAGAGCTTAAGCCTCTGGTTCAAAGTCACGTAGCTGCAAGGGGAAAGGGTAAGCCAGGATCTGAACTCATGACAGAGGCAGAGAGTTCCCTTTAAAAAGCAAGGAAGACTTGAAAGCAGGGACTCAAGCAGACACTTGTACACCAATGCTCATTGCAGCATTACTCACAACAGCCAAAAGGTGAACACAACCCAAGCATCCATCAACAGATGATGGATAAACAAAATGTGGTCCATCCATACAATGGAAGGTTATTCTGCCATAAAAAGAAATGAAGTTCTGATACCTCTACGACATGGATGAACCTTGATAACAGATGCTGAGTGAAATAAGCCAGACACAAAAGGACAAATACGGTCGGATCCCCCTTACGTGAATATCTAGCGTAGGGAAATGCATAGAGATAGAAAGTAGGCTGATGGTTATCAGGGGCTGAGGAGAGGGAATGCGGAGTTATTGCTTAAGGGGTGCTGAGTTTCTGTTTGAGGTGACGAAAAAGTTTTAGAAATAGACAGGGATGATGGTTGCATAATGTTGTAAATGTAATTAACCTCACTGAACTACACACTTAAAAACGGTTAAACTGGCAAGTTTTGTTATATATGTTGTACTAGAATAAAATTTCTTAAAAAGAGAGTGATTGACAGGATAGACAGGGGAAGAGAGACCCCTGGAGACTCAGGGGGTGGACAACCGTCCACTCGGCTGGGGTAATCCCCCCAGCACACACGCACACACACACACACACACACACACACACACAGATGGCGTTCAGCATGGGGGCTGGAGCTGCTTGGAGAAAAACCACCACTTTTATGGGAATTTCTTTTTAAAAGAGAAAGAATCCAGCCACCTACCTACCTACATCTCAACCATCAGCACCAACAGAGAAAGTCAGCTTCAGACAAGTTCCCGAATATCTCATCGTCAAATCTCTCCATCACATTCCTTTCTCTCTCTCTTTCTCTCTCTTACACACACACACTCATGACCCCAGGGACATAGGGTCCCTCAGCACAGGTAGGTATGCTGGGCTCCAGAATGGGCCCTGGGGGCCATGAGTCCCCAACAGGGGGGCCACACTGCATCACCCATACATGCCACTGCAGCTATGAACGTGCACCCATGGATGGGACCCTGTGAGACCTCCGTGTTGCCTCTCAGAGGAATCCACTGCTCCAGGCCCCTGTGCTATTAGGAGGGGTCTGCCCACCACCCAGCCTCCTCTCAAAGCCAAGGGTTGTTGCCAATCCTTCGATCTTAGCATGAGGAGACCCTCACGTAAGCCCCCAGGTCAGAGGGCACAGGGCCTCCCTGGCTCCGGGGCCCTGCACAGAGCAACGGGCTCCTTCAGTCATTCAACAAACACTTGCTAAGTCTCCCTCACTCCAATCCACCCATGCTGGATGAAGAGAATTCTAAAACAAATGGCCCCCACTTCCCGGCTCCAAATCCAAAGATCCGGAGGCCAGGACACAGGAGTATCCAGAGCACAGCTGGAGACGGTATCAATGGCAGCTCCTGAGAAACGCAGAAGACTGGGCATTAAGGGAGAAGAGGACATCAATCGGCAGGAGTAGGAAGGGTGGGGGGAGGACACAGTTCGAGCAAAGTGCATCTCAGGGGACTGCCAGGCACAAGGTGGGTGTGAAACGTCACAAATGGGACGTGGCCCAGCCCCTGGAGCCCAGGCCCAGAAGTGGGGACACCGGTAGGCAGTGAGCTATGGGCAGGGCAGCAGGGAAGGGTATTAGAAAGACCCTGTGCAGCATCAGGGGCCAGTGGAGAGGCTTTGAGTACTTCGCCAGGCTCAGCTGGAAAGGGGGTGACAGAAGGCCTAAGAGGCAACTGTGATGGGACAGAGCAGTGATCATGGGGGAAGAAGGATGACGCTCAGGAGTCAGCTCGGGGGGCACAGGGGGAGCAGACCAAGGGAGGGACAGGAACCCAGGTGACTTGTACCTGGAGAAACCAATGCAGCCTGCAGGAGGTTAAGGCCTGGGAGGTTCAGGGAAAGGGACCAGTGACAGGGGCCCAGATGGGGACCAGGCCAGAACTCATGGCCAAAGAGGCAAACTGGGGGCTGGGCGCAGGAGAAGAAACACGGAGAGACTGTTAAGACATCCTCTGAGCACAGAGAACCCAGAACTCAGCCTTCCACGAACAGTACCCCAAGAATGCCCACCAACCCAACAGCAAACCGAACATGGCCTGGGCAGAGGGGCCGGCCTGGGTCCCCAAACTGCAAGCCGACCACGCCCCCAGCTCCAACAAAAATGCCACAAATACAGGCGCTCCAAAATCCCAGGAGAGATCCGACAGCTTATGTGCAAGGGACAGAGGAAACACAGCCAGCCACATCCTGCAAAACATTCGCCCTTACTAGCAATTCAATAAATACGCCATTCGTACCTACCAAATGAGCAACTGTTTTTTGTTTTTTTAATATTAAAATGATTCTGAGGAGTCTGAACTGATACAAGGACTGTGACCCAGCTAATCGGCATGTAAAATCGCTAACTACATAAGAAGGCACTTACATACTGTATATCAGGATCCATAAGAGCATTGTCGTTACTGTTAGCTGCCATCAAGGTTAGCTCCCGAATTATGGTGATCCCACACACAACGGGATCAGACCATTGTGATCTGTAGAGTTTTTACTGACTTATTTTCAGAAGTAGATTGCCAGGTCTTTCTTCCTAGTCTGTCTTAGTCTAGAAGCACTGATGAAACCTGTTCAACATCACAGCAACATGCAAGCCTCCACTGACAGACAGGTGGTGGCTGTGCATGAGATGCACTGGCTGGGAATCAAACCCAGGTCTTCCAAATGGAACGGGAGAATTCTACCACAGAACCACCACTGCCCCCTGGAAGAATACTGACGCCCGACCCAAAAAAAAGAATACTGGAACCCTTGTTTATGCTCCTCTCAAACTCAAACACTCACTCACTCACTCATCAAATACCTACTATGTACCAGGGATACAAAAAAAATACCAAACCCATTGCCGTTGAGTCGATTCCGACTCATAGCGACCCTATAGAACAGAGTAGAACTGCCCCATAGAATTTCCAAGAAGTGGCTGGTGGATTGGAACAGCTGATCTTCTGGTCAGCAGCTGTAGCTCTTAACCACTGGGCCACCCTTAATTATATAAGACATAGTTCCCTCCTCAAGAATTTAAAATTCTCAGGCTCAATGCTAGTCTATTCCTAGGAACCTATTCTTAGAAAATGACTCAAAATACCAGAAAAGCGCAATGCATAAAAATATTCAACGCGACATTATAAACACAAAACATCAGAGAAGGGAAAACCAAAATGCCCACCAGGGGGAATGGTTAGCTCAACAATGGGACATGCTCTCGACACAATATTAAAGGCTATAAAGAAGTGATGCTTATAAACAGTTCACAATAGTGAGGGGAGACAACTTACACTCTAAGACATGAAAAACACAGGCCCGAGACTGTACGTGCATGCCATGAGCTGTGAAAGTAGAGGCAAATGGCACAGGAAAATGAGTTTCGGGAAAGATACGACAGCGTTCAGGGCTTTGGGAAAATAGTCTGTTCCTTTCATTTCTTTCTCCTTTTCTGTATTTATTTTCTACATTTCCTATGTGCATACTGGAAAAAGCAATAATCTTTAAATAGCACCAGCAGCCCACAAGTAGGACAGAGGACAAATGGAACTGGGGAGACAGGAGAACAGGGGGGACAAGAAAGAGGCAAGGGTGGGGACCAGAAGACGGGTACAAACCGAAAGCAAAGAGGAGAACTGAATAGTGCTCAGCTACCATTACTGAAAATTTTGATCAAAGATTATACAGAAGAATCCTGATCAAAAGGAGGAAACTGCAGAACAGAATTCCAAGTCCTTATGCAATCCAAACTTTCTGGAGCCACTGAGGCTGGATGAACCCCCCCAAACCTATTGCCCTGACATAATCTTTAAATCTTAAACCTAAAATATTCCCTAAAATCTTAAAATCAAACAATAGTTTAGCTTAATTAGCAAAGAATGCCTGCCTTGAGCATTCTGCTCTTTTAAGATCGATCTATATGGGATCGAACTGACAACAGCAACTCCAAGTTTAGATAGGAGCACTGAGTTTATGTTAAGGTGGGGATAAACAATTTGGAAAAGAAGGGTGAGACTGGCTGCACAGCTTGAAAGATGTAATCAGTATCCCTGAACTGTAAATGGAGAAATTGTTGAATTGTTCTACGTTCTGCTGTGTATATTTTCAACAACAAAAAATAAATTTTTAAAAACGCAAAAGAGGGGAGGGGTAGAGCCAGGTCCTACCTTTGATGTTGCTCATGGACAAAGAACGCTCCTGGTCTCCCAGACCAGGCCCTAGCCGACCACTCCCTCCACTGTCCTTCTGCCGAGCCACCGCCACTGCGATGCCCACAGGTGGGTGCCGAACCTCGGCTTCACCCTGCGAACCGGAGCCCTCACGTCCAAAGGCCTTGGCGCTCTCGGGCCTCTCCGGGTCCCGCTTCAGCTGCCTACCGCCGCCTGCTGCGGGGCCTCCGGGGTGCTGGAGGCGACCCTGAGCGCGTGGGGCTCCACTGGTGGTCGGGGTTGGCTCGGGTTTCATGGTGCCCAGACCTCCGAAGGGACTCTTCTTGCCGCAGCCGCCAGGGCGCACGGCCACGGCCTCGCGGGGGAAGCTGCCACTGTACTTGATGAGGCTCTGCATGGCCGAGGCCTCGCCAGGCCCGTGGGCCGCGGGATGCATGTCCGCGCCGGGCCGCCCGCAAGCCCCCGCGCGGGGCAGCGCGCCCCCAGGGTCCAGGTATGCCTTCTTGGAGGCAGCCGACGCAGCCGAGGCAGCCGCAGCGGCCTCCTCCTCGGCGCGGCTGGCCTGGTGGTGCTGCGCGGCCAGCACAGCCATCTGCGTGGTGGCAAAGTTGCCCAGCTCAAAGGGCTTCCACTTGTGGTCAGTGGCGGCGGGGAGGGGCGGCCGCCCGGGCTCCAGGCCGAAGAGCTTGGCGGCCTGCTGGGCGGTGTTGGCGGGGACGCGGGG